ACTGTTGGTCCTAACGGTCAATTGATTCAAACCACTGGTTTACCACAGCTTGTACTGGAATGCGGAGGCTTCTGTCCGTCGCAGAATGGCCCATAAAATGGGTTGAGTTATCTGTGGATGAACACTGGGAAGTGTAAAAGGAATTATTCACACGCCAGCTTCAAATACCGTCACTTTAGTCACAACACAGCCGTAGGAAAGGTCCTCATGGTTGAAGCGGGGTGAGCAACGTATTCTGCAAGCAAAGCGGTAGACTCGGCCTACGTGGCAAGTATTCAAGTGTCAGGCCAAACATGATGCACACATGGAACCCAGGAATCGGTGCAACACAAGAATCAGGAATCGCAGGAAGTCATTTCAAGTTAACCTTGCCAAAAACTCCTGGTAAATCCTAAAAGCCTGTACATATTCATGTTAGCGAGAAACAACCAACCACGGGGTATGCGCCTTTAATGGTCAATATTTCACCTGTCTGGAGGTGGCTGAAACATTCAGTTTGACCTTCTCCAAGAAGTTTAGCCTACAGTGCGGGTATTACTGAGACGGACCTAAATGGTAACACCACCACTTCACCGGTTGGAGGACTAGTGGATAACCCCCAAATAAACCCGGCAGTAGTGCTTTGGTGAGAGCTGGCTGCAATTCAAAATTGTAGACAACAATTTACGTCAGTAAAATGTCCCGAATTAAGCCATGAGATTACAATTACAAAGCTTAACCTTGAGAAACTCAATAACCGATTGCAGCAAACTTAGCGTTCGCAATTAGGATTCGCAGATATATGGCTTAACTTTCTGAGAAACGGTCACAAACAGTACAGAATAACCTTCAGCAAGAAAACAACCGATCAGAAGGCGCCGCTTCTCCGCTGACAATAATGAACGTAAAAATCTATAAATATCTCTTGATTTTCTCAATGAACGATCTGTTGCCTGGCCCTTGTCTTCTGTCCTTACAGTACTAGGGAAGCTACAGAGACTTGTATCTGGAAGGTCCCAAGGTTGTGACGCCATCAGTCCATCTGTTTTGTAACAGTGCACTAAAGCCTTCTGTAGACCCTCATGTGGCTTGTTACAACACTCTATGAATTCAGGAAAACTGCCTAGGGAGTGGAAAAGAGTCATCCTTTCTTCGATTTTCAGGGGTGAATGAAGGGAAAACGCCAACAGTAATAGACCAGCGGTGCCACTTCCAGTGGTAACAAATGTACTAGGAAGTATAACTGATGATAACCTCAGGGAGCATCTCAAGAGGACTAATGGACTCCATGAAGAAAAACATGGTTTCAGCAAAGGCAGATCATGTGTAACTAACCTACTGTCAGCTCGGGACGACTGAATATCATGGTGGCACAGCGGTTAATTTTAATTTTTGATTACAGCTTGATGCCACACCGTATTTTCAGTAAAACTATGGTATTTTCGGCATGGATATCGGTAGTCCAAATTTCGCAGGCCGACCATTGATATCGGGTGTGCGTCGGCAGGGGATCGAACCCCGGACCATGTGCATGGTCAGGGAGAATCCTAACCACTGTGCCACCGACGCACTCTCGCCGACCATGCACATGGTCCGGGGTTCGATCCCCTGCCGACGCACACCCGATATCAATGGTCGGCCTGCAAAATTTGGGCTACCCATATTACATGCTGAAAATTCCATACTTGTACCAAAAATGCGGTGTGGAATCAAACTATAATCAAAAATATAAAAATATTCCAATCCATGTGGTCTTCGTAGACTATGAGAAGGCATTTGACACAGTCAAGCAGGCATAGGTGAATCACTTCTGTCATAGTTGAAGGACTACCTTGCTGAAAGGAAATTTCGCACTAAGCTCAATAGAGTCCGATCATCCTGGCCCGGCTCGTCATCAGGAGTTTTGTAGGGCTCTATCCTAGGGGCACTGTTGTTTTGACTTTCATCAGTGGTCTACCATGCCGTCTAAGCTGCCCGACGCTTCTATACGCTGACGGCATAAAGATTTGGAGGACAATAAAGTGTTCGGAAGACTCAGATAGCCTTAAGACAGATCTAAAGCTTGCGGAATACTGGTAGGTGGCCAGTGGTATGACTTACAACCTGAAAAAGGGCTTAGTAGTGAATGCAAGCTATACCTTATGCAACGAAAGCTTTTCTTGCACAACGTCAAAGAATGACTTAGGTATAGTTCTTCATTTTACTGCGGGTTTATCGTCCCTGGAACTCCTTATTGGCACAGTCTGTCGACACTTTTAAAAGAGGGCTGTACAATCATGCAGCAACACAAGGACTGCGTCCAAGTGGCCTAGCCATGGGTAGACAAGCAAATCCGTCGTTTTACTTCTTTACATTCTCTCCCGTCTTATTCTCCTGACTGCTCCAACTACTACACTTACAATTATAATTATTGACATTTTATGCATATATATATATATATATCAACTTCAAATTTAATTGGCTCTCTGTTTTTACGTTTTCTTTACTTTTTTTCTGTCTTTTAATCTAAATAACCTACACCAATTACATCTGTTATTATTATCCCTTTTCTTTTGACAACGACAGAGGAGGACCAACTGGTGAAAGGATTAACTCCATTCACAGTAGTAACAGAGTCTTAACATACCGCATACTACAAACAACATATAATTAATCCCAGCATCAATGCTTTTGGAGTCAAGCAAAGCTACGACAGTCGAGTGGTGGCACAAACAACGCAAAAGTTCAACGAAAACCAGAAACCTTTACCTCACAGGCAAGAAGCGAGCACAAAGAAATGGAATTCGTTTACACTAGCTCATGAAAACGATAGGGAATACTGGAACCAACGCTGGTTTGCCAAAGCCAACTTTTAGAGCATGAGAGAACCTCTGAAGTCAGCGCTTTGATCATAAGTTTACCGTTTACTAACGATAGACGAGCACATAAAGTGGGTGAAAGAAATTGTGAAGGCCAGTTGTGATTTCGTTCGTATCATTTGGATAACCCCAGAAACAGAACTTAGTGAATGAGTAGAGGCATCGGGTTTCTCTTCTAGAAAAAAAGGAAAGGGATGATATGAATGAAGACCCTTAAGGGAGCAGTTTGACCAAACATCATACATAGATGTTACATGCCAGTCAAAGAGGACAGAAGGACATTCCATGCAAACCTAGCCAAGAAACTTCCCACCAACCCCAAGAATGCGCACTGATTCCTGGCTCATTAGGAACAGCCCCACCCAAGAAGTACATATATTTAGAGAATAGAAGGCCGAACCTTTGAGTGATCCGGAAACTTGTGACGCACTCAAAAGACATGAACACCAAGGATGTCGGAGAGGTACGCACGCTTTGGAAAGCCACTGTAAAGTCGAAGAGATTACCTTTCTCCAAATAATTCCGAGCATAGTTCCGGAAAACCTGACAAAGCTACGATGGGAAAATTCCCATGGATGCGACAAAATAAAACCAACGGTTCTCAAGCCTTGTGTGCACCCACATAAGAAGCAAACCAGTTCCAGGGCACCTAAATGGCATTACGCACATCTCACTTGCCTTTTATTTACTTCACTTTTATTGGGAATTTTGTTTGTCTGTAGATGTATCAGTCTTTTCCTTTCCATTTTAGTACGTGTGCATGTAATAACATTGTCTTACATCCAATCCGCCCGCCCTACCCTCCATTTGCTTTCTTTGACTCATTCTCACGACTCCCTTAGTATCACTTCCTCTGGAGTTTCTGTCCACCTTACAAGACTGTGACCAGGTAAAATGAAGCTTGCGATTCGCAGCAGCGACACTGCTATTGCACGAATCAAACAATCTCTTGAAAAAATCTGTGTACTCCCTCTCATTGCGTTTAGAAGAACTACAACAGTCAAGGGGATGGATTCTACTGTTCAAGGCACCACTAGCTATTTATTACTTGAAGGACATTGTTTAGGTCACAGCTGTTAGCACAAATGATGAAAGTGTCATCAACGTACCTAGCTGCCAACCCGCCATCAAATTTACAATTGAAGTGGAAACCAAACAGACAATCTCCTTTTTGGTTATTCAACTAACAAAGAAGACTGAAGGGACTTTGAACAGATTAGTATGTGGAAAGCTTACGCGAAACCTTCAGTTGACAAATTTTACAAATGAGTGCCCATCAATCGCAAGCGGAACTTTAGAAAATCTTTTGGCACCAGATTCCGAAGAATCTGCAGCCCTGAATCAGTAGAAGAAGAGATCACTCTTTTCAGAAAGATACTGCTTGAGAATGGCTATTCCTCAAGCTTGATGGATAAGCACATAAAGCCCAAAACCAACAAACAACATCCCATCTCTGTGCCGAAGAAGACGCTATACATGAATGTGGTATTCAAAGGCGCCCTTCTTTCCGACATCCTAAATAAGGGAATACCTAACACCCTGAAAAGAAAATTCGCTGCTGCTATATTACGGTTGGCATCCTCATACCGCCCACTGTTCTCCAACAACTCATAAATTATAGCATTTGACCGGATGGAAATAGCTGATTTATATGCATAGAAGAAACTTCTCCATCTCTTCATTCCATCTTGGGTATAATTCCACGTCCAACTATTTTGTGCACTTTTGTTTAACATTTCATCAATATCTTATGTTAACTAACCTCCTATTTACTCTTTCTGTCTACTACATAATTTACTTTGGAAACTTGTCTCCCTGCTTTTTCATTAACACCTGGACGTTATTCATATTACGATACCCTAGTCAAAACTAAGTAATCTTCACCCCCCTAGTTACAATTTGACTATACATGACATTTTTTGAAATATTTTGATGATGAACACAATAACCCTGACTAATTTCTATTATCGCCTGGCAAACCCAGTGCAAATACACAAAAAATAATTATATATATATATATATAATTGCAATTCTACGGCTAAGTGAATGAATTCACCGAAAAGAAACTCTTTGCTAAACTGTCTGTTCTTACAAATGAATTTATTAGGAAAATATAAAGTTGACAGAAAATCTGTGAATAGTTAGTTGTTAAATTTCATCCATTTATTCTGATAAATCTGTTGAAGTGACATGGTGCATCATATCTTTAATTTTTCTGAAACAGAAAAAGCAACACTTATGAAATAATATTATCTAACGAAAATCACAAAAGAGCATTCGATATTTTGTTGAAAACTCAACCAAAAGACCAATATACAGATTAGACTACTGTTTGAAAGGCTTTACAGAAAAGAAACACATTTAATCATGTGTTGATGACACATCGAATTGATTACCTTAATAACTCCTATACTAATGAGTAGTGAAGATGCATCCTAAGGTATCTTGTGTTACACATTCATATATTTTGTATGTTCTCTTTGCGTGGAGTTATAAATCGAAAATTTCTAAAAATGGATATATGAACGCGAACAAAAAGTTGTAGGATTCTGGGAGTATATCTTAGCCTTCACAGAAATGATAACATAGCAACTATAATTTGAATTCTAAAGCTAGTTATGACCTTGCAATCTTCCAAATTCCACCGATCACAAAACTGAAAACTCATTTGAATAATTTCAGTTTTATAATTGGTGTTTGTTAGTGCAGTTAAGTATGAAGCCTTGTACTTCATTATCCTTTACATTTTGGTTTCCATCTTTATTTTACTTAGCTGGTAGACAGACTATCCTTTATTCTTACTGTCCTTCAGAAGTTATCTAAAATGGTTGACAATGACTGTAATTCAGAATAACGGAACCAGTTTGTAATTATTCCAAGATACTGAGATTGCAAATTAGCGAAATGGTGCCAACTAGTAGTCTAACAAACGAAGACCTTCTGCCACTACTCGAGTCAAGCAATTTGTAGTTTCTTATGTCCCATTTCGGATGTGGGGGGAAAAATTCTTGAAGTATTGCGTACAATCGTTGAATTCAGATTATTTATATTTCCAAAGCGCAGAGAAGGCTCTAGGATTCGAAGTTCTGTCTATCCCCACACTTGTTGTTCAGTTATATACATGAATATGTTTACGAGGTTGGGGTTGCCGAATTCGGAAGTGCACCTTCACACCAGACTTCAATAACAAGAAATGCATTGTACCAAATATAATTGTTAGTGTTGTACGAAATTCTGCAGAGCGGAATTTATTTCCAGCATTTCTGGGGTGACAAAAGCGTGTCTACAGACTTAAAATCTCACTGCTTTATGAATTTGCAAGACTTCAAAGTTATATATGAAAACGCTTTCCTATCTTAGGGAGAGGAATTAAATCCCACTTATCCTTAAAAGGGTCTGTCCATGGCGTTTTGAGTTGCTACCTTCAGAAACGGCCTTTATATGAGGTAACTAACAAGGCTATTCTGACACTATGTGTCCCATTTAAGATGGACACCCCTAATATTTACTTGCATGCTGATACAAGCCGGACGACACACAACTCTAAGACAAATCCTGGAGAGTCTCGCCATTACTTCATGTTACAAAGTCCTGGTAAAGTACTTTAAGGAAACAATCTCCATTAGGTTGAAAGTATGCTTCAAGTGCTCTTAGCCAAGAAATCTGTAGCTGGTTTCAGTGTCTCACTTAACACCAGAGCCAAAGCTACACGATCCCAGAAAATATCTTTCAATAGCAGTATATACAGTGTTGAACTGAAAGTTCCGATGAAATTAAAAAGAAACCACAAAGAGTGGAGTTGTTTTTGTTATCTCTGTATAGTCGTTGACAGATTGAAATTCATAGTTACAACTACGGATGAGTTCGACAGAAAAGTGACTGACCTGTTTAACTGATTACCCTCGATAGATATCATGTTAGTTGTGAACTTCCGTGCATGAGACTCATATCTCACTATGAAGGAGATCATTTCAGACAGTCAGTGCAAACTAGATAGTTGCTGTTGGAACAACTAAGACTGAATTCTACAACTAGAGTCCAAAATGCCATCGAGATAACTCCAAGGCTAGCTACTGATGTTTTAGAGAGTATAGAGAAATACTGTGTGCACATAAAAAACGAGGTAAATAAGTCGGAAAGAACTTTCCAACAGAAAAACAGTATGGTTCTCTGAGCTCTTTGCAACTTTTTAACATTCATCAGTCACTCTACATTCGCTTAAATATGTATTGTTCATATTTTGATTTATGTATAACATATATTAGTATCCACACCTACACCAAGTTGGTGTTTGAATGAGAAATTATAGACACACAAGTTATTCGAATCAGTGATATAATGGTGTCGTGTTAAACCAATCGTGGAGGTAGTTGAAAGAGAAGACAGAGAACTCAGTGCAACGAAGATGTGCCACTGAAACCCTAAATCTCAAGTATTGGTTTGTAGGGATTTGATTGATTGGTTACAGGATTTCATCATGAGCTGACATTGGCAAGGTGTACTGTCAGACAGCTGTTTCGTCCCAGTGGTTTCGGGCTCTCCGTCAGTACGCACCCACCACAGGAAGTTCGAACCAACAACCTTCCCGTTACAAGCCAAGCTGGTAGACCATTCCAGCCACTGGGACCCAATCCAATGGCCAGTCCGTGAATTCCAACTTCTGTCGATTCACAACATAGCACGACCGCTAGCCAATGTCTTGGGCGAGAATTTGTCCTCATACCCGACCTGCTGTACCCTACTGGTCACGACTTCTCACTAGAAACCCAGAAAACTACCTACATGAATACGGTGCGTACTGTGAAGAGTCACAAACTAGGACGAAACAGCTGCCCAATACTCCCAGGTTTCTTAATGGTTCTCTAACCGATGTCAGTTCATGATGAAATCCTGTAACCCTAAATCTCACTTGGACGGCATGCAACGAATAACAGTATTATTATTAATAGGTTCAGGTGCAGTAGCTACAGTTAAATGTAACTATTTAATTGTAATACTAAGGCTGATGAAAGAGCTTCCTTAAAGATAGATTGACTCATCAGACTAATAAGATATTTACAAAATTACATAAATATGAAAGAATTGACTGTAAGTAAACAGTCGGCAATACGATATTACTAAACATTACAGCCAATGATGTCTAATTTTATAACGCATAAAAAACGAACAGCGTTTTACCCTAATGCGCTACTGATTAACTTCAAATCATTCTCAATAGAACAGATCAAAATTAGATGCATTATTTACTTTGCAAAATAAGCTTACTTATTTGGTTTGGAATCCATCATACGTGTATAGAAGTGAATCTAAAAACAGAAATGATATGAAAGATAAATATGATGTAATAAGACTTGTTGATTTATTCATTTAAATCTCATGTTAAACATTCCACCAGAAAGATTTATACAAATAATCTAACCTTGTCAATTGATTCACTGAATCTATACATGAGTACGAAACAGACTGACGTAAAAACATGACGCACAAACATTTGGCACATATCACAAGAAAAATAATGAAATGATTGTCTGTGTATCACAAAATGTTAAGGCTACGAAGTGGGAATTAAAATGGAAACTTATGCCCCATTGACTTATGTATCGTAATGATTTGCTTGCAGATGGGGGCCACTGTATGAGGGGAAAAGCCAAAAGATGATAAGCTGTTCTGTTTGGTTGCCGATTTTCTGAAGGTTAAACCTTGAGATCTCTTTTGATGTGGTTGGGTTCTCTGAGCTGGATAGTTAATTTGCGAAGCTTTCATCGCCCTACTAGGCAACATCTTCAGCGCATACTTCAATTTGAAGTGATCTTTTAGATTTCTCCACGAGTTTACCAATCATCCCTCCCGGTGACCTTGGATGTGATTAGTTGTTTCTGTCTGTTTTCACACCTTCTAGGTTACTTGTATTGGAACTGATTGTTTCCTTGACTTGAACTTTGACACTTTGTGTGTGAGATTTCATCCTCATCGGCTGATAAATTTTTTCTATCTCGATGTGTCTATTGATTGACGACTCACTGGAATACTAGACAGGCTTCTAAAAATTCTCTATCATTCTTGGTGTTTCCTCTGTCTAATATTTGAACGTTGTCCCAGTCGAATTTATGTCCGTGGTTGTTTGTATGTAGTGATATGAGTAATGGAGTGGATGTCATGTCTTCTGACGGCTAGTTTATGCTCGTGGATACGAAGACGAAGGGGGCGTCCACTTTGGGTCAATGTGGTGTTTTTCGCAGTTGTTTCACTTTATTTTGTGGATGACGTTGGTTTTATCTTCTTTCGCTGTTGAGTCTTTTGGTTGACATAGAACTGAGTGAAGTGATTTTATTGGTTTGTGTGCGACGTCAATTCCTTAAGGTTTGAAGAGTCTTCCAGTGATTTCTGAGATATCCTTTATATCTGGTCGGGAGATTTTCTTTGTGCTTTCCTTGGGGGCTTTTGGTTTGATAGGTTGGCTTGGGGGTAAATGTCTTTTGATGAAATTCCGTGGATATCCATTCTTTTGGAAGACGTTCATGAGATATCTTTCTTCAATTTTCCTTAAGGTGGGAGTGCTGCAGTGAGTCCTGGCCCTCTTGAATAGTGTTTGTATGCAATTCCTTTTGTGTGTTATTGGATTGTTGCTGTGGTAATTCAGTATTTGGTCTGTGTGAGTTGATTTTCTATAAACTGGAGTTTCTAATTCCCCTTTGGTTGTTCGCTTGACTAAGACGTCCAAAAATGTGATTTCGTTCTCGGATTCCTCTTCTCTTATGAATTTGATGTCATTGAAGACATTGTTTATCAAGTTGTGAGTTTTATCTAACTCGATGAAAGCTTCGCAAATTAACTATCCAGCTCAAAGAACACAACCACATCAAAATCATCCACCTGAGCTACGAATCTTCTCTATCATATCTAAACCTTGAGATCATATCTCAGCAACAAAGTAACCTAGATCCAGATTTGAGAAATAAATGTTTCTACTTCTTTAGCCAATCACTTAAAATGTCGTTTTCAATTTTTGGCTGCTTCCTAACAATCTGCGTCTCTCTCTCTCTCTCTCTCTCTCTCTCTCTCTATATATATATATATATATATATATATATATATATTCAGAGAAGCCCTTAGTCTTAAGCCGTAACGCTTAACAAAAGAACAGAAATGAATAGTATTACTGTATGCTAGTTTCGTTTCGGTGAGTGTCTCAAAATGAAGTGAAAGAAAAGACAAATGAATGAACCTGGTGAAACCAGTCTACTAAACACTTCTTCTTCATAGATTACTTTTTACATGTTGGAGAAATTCATATTAGAATAATAATTATTTTTTGGTATTTTATGTTATAATCATATATATTCTATGTCTGGTTTTCATTTGTTTATATTTTCCATCATACATTTCACTATACTTTTCTGCATATAAAGTATGTCATTCGATATTTTAGTCTAAATAACTTACCTAGATAAGTAATGTAACCTCAGTAAAACTGAGTTTTGTTATTCACACGCATAAAACTGTTAAACGGCTGAATTGACTTTGTTTCTTGCTTTTTCTGTGTAAACAACTAAATGCTTTTTTTATCCTCTATTTAAATGATACTTAATCATGTCATGTGAAGACCTATCACAGAAGTTAAAATTATACACACTTATGGAGATATGACGACATAAAACTCGAGTGAATGATTAACTCTTCAAGAGCACATGAAAGCTAGACAATTAGGCAGCAAATTTATTTCTAAAAAAATTAGAGATAAATAGAGTCGTCTTCATATTTTTTGATAGATTATTTTTAGGATAACAATGAATACTACCATTATGAAAGTTTATATTTCAGCAATAGCATAAAGTGCAAAGAATAGCAGAATGTACTTATATATCAAAGAAAAAATATTATTGTTGATTTTGTTGGCCACATCGAAAACTTGACTGATAGAATTCAATCTGCACCAAACAAAGGACTAATGTTCAATCAAAGAGTCCAATACAGTCCTAAAGAAGATCAATCGCGAGGCTGAAAAGCTCAGTGGTAACGTCTCTCACTGCAGCGCTCACTGGGTGACGCGGGTTCGAATCTCAGAAGGGACATCAGTTCCTTCAAGGTTGCAGATACACCTTGCTGACTGGTTACCACGAAACCTAGGTCCAAGGCTTAATTTCAAAGTGTACCGTGATGGCGAGCCACCTAGAATGCTAGCCGCACTGCAAACTTGACTGATAGAACTCAGTCTGTACCAAGCAAACGGCTAGATTCATCGTCGACTGACTCCTAAATTTCGCTTAGCTGAAAGTAGGCCAGTTGAAAAGTGATGGTGGAGTGTCTGGATAGCAGCCCCACCCACCACCCAGTAAAAACAACACCACTGCTAATGAAACTACAAAGTTCAAGGTTGAAACCCTATGTTCCACTCGGAACGCAAAGACATTTTATGTATATAGATATATGCTCTCTAGTCATAATAATATCTGATTTTGTCTTTCAAAGGAAAAAAACAACGCTCCATTACAAACTCATATCATCGATCTGTTAAGATAGATTCGTCAAATGTTCAAAATATGCCTAATTACCCAATAAATTTGGAAATAAAATAATAAAAAGTCTTGTATCAGATAATATCAAAACTACTCTGCAGTGAGTTTGTGAGAAGAATAGTGAAATATGATAACTCTTAATCCACGCCATATTCTATGCTGAACTCTACCCATCAGCCACAATGTAATAAACAAATATGCCATTTTACACATGTTACTGTCTGTTCTCACTCAGTGAAACATCGTGATTGTTGAAGACAGCTTTTTTCTTCAGATGAAAATTTCTTTCTAATCCTGTGAACTCTCAAGCTAGTGACTTGAAGTTCCTGTAACAGTGTTTATTTTTGCAGGATAGGGTTGCTAGCCTCATACCCAACCTTTCCTCTTCACCACCATTATTTCTGGCTAAGCGAGGTAAAGGAGTGCGCCGGCCGGGGATTGAACCCGGACTATGTGCATGGTCGGCGAGCGTCCTAACCACTATGCCACCGACGCACTATGGTGATACAGGGAGATTAACATGGATTGAGATTAAGCATCGCAACTGACAAAGCCAGAATTTACGTGAACACATGGAGATAATGAATGGCAGCAATGATGAAGAGATGGAAATAAGGACACACCCCCACACACACGCAGACACAACGATAAAATAAGCCAAAGAGTAAAAAAAAATAAAGAACAGGAGATAAGTTGACCTTATTGATCTACCTTCATTATTTTGAAATTAGTTAAAACTTACAGTTTGTGCCCATCCAGCATATTCTCCCCAAATATCACTAAGAGATTTAGAGATGACATCATAAGACTTTGTAGTTACACTCTTACGAGATGCTTCAGGAATTTTTCTTTCATATGCAGCACGATGCATATGTACATCGATGGGGACAACATTCAGTTTATCTAAGGATGTAAGGCATATGCAATCTGCAACCTTAAATTGACAAAAACAGAAAGAGGAATGCTTTGTTTGATTGAAGACAAGAAGCATATAAGTAATACGTTTGAGAAATACAGAATAAATAAAACTGTGCTGATAATATTTCATGATGACTTTATGTATAATCTTTAGAAAAATCGAACAGAAGCACATGCGCGTTCGACTAATACCTCCTCGGTTCCCAAATATTTAGTTACTATGACAGCGAACTTCATTTTATACACCACCGAATTAACACTGACGATTTGCTTATCCAACGAAGTCTTTAGTACTCACAGTGTGGTTAGAGCTGTCTGCAAGCCAAATTATAGACAACAGTTTACGTCAATGTTTACGTCCCGAATAGGGGTCACGAGATAAAAGAAAACCTAACTTTGAGGAACTCATCAACCAATCACAACAGACTTAACGTGTGCAAATACAATTTGCGGATGTATGGCCTGACTTTTTAAGAAACGGTCACAAGCAGTACAGAATATACTTCAGCAAGAAAACAAACAATCAGAAGACGTTGCTTCTCTGCTAACAATAAAGCTAATAATAATGTACATATAAATCTATAAATATCTCTTGATTTTCTCAATAAACGATCTGTTGCCTGGCTCCTGTCTTCTTTCTTTACAACAGAAATATAATAAAACCGAATCTGGAATGCTTTAAAAAACAGATTTAATGTTTTATGTTTTTTTTAAAAATTTTACTGTGTTCATTAGTTGTCAGCTAATCAAGTTAATAGGCATCGAAATGAAGTTGTGTTTCATTGGAGAAAGTACTCAGCGATTACATGAAAGATCACATGTTCAATAATACTCAGTCTACTGAAGCAAATAGCTGGTTTCACCATTACCCAAAAAGTGTTTTTGATACTTCTGGAACATGAACATTCATGTAGCTGTTGATATGTAAAACATAACTCATTGATAGGAGGTCAATCGCGAGCCCGAATAGCTCAGTGGTAACGTCTCTGACTGCAGCACTGGGTGACGCGGGTTCGAATCTAAGAAGGGACATGAGTTCCTTCAAGGTTGCAGATACGCCTTGCTGACTGTTGAGTGCCAACTTGCACGAAACCTAGGTCCAAGGCTTCCTGCCGATTGCCTCCAACCACCTAATAAATACGTATTGAATTACTCCAATTAAATGAAAGCATTTTAAATCATAGGTTGTATGACGCAAGTGTTCATAATGTGGACCAGTGGAATAAGACTTAAGTTTTCCAACCTCTGTGATGAATTTAATAAGACACCTTAACGGAATACCAACAACAGCTATCGTCCCACAATACATTCTGATTTCACCATATCTCCAAAAAAAAGAAATTAAAAGATAAAAACTTGTCTGTGACCTCAAGAACGGATTTATTCAATACTCATATTGTACGCATACACTACGTCAATGAAACGGTAACTTATTTTAATCACCTGCATGGGACATCAAATTGCTCAATGAAATTATTCTGTTCACATACTCATATAGATCCAATTTTGAAACCTAAAACTGTGGTGAGAGCTGGCTGCTAGACAAAGTTGGTAGACAGTAATTGACGTCAATGTTTATGTCCCCAATATTGGTGGTGAGAAAATGAGAACAAAGGCTTTGCGTAGGCGGATACAGTTAGCATATGGATGACCTGACACAGCCACAAAGGGATGCAAGGTTAACTTTCTGTGAGAAACAACCAATCAAAGGACTGTATTTTACACTAACAATAATCTACAATAATGTACATTAAAATCTATAAATATGTGTTGATTTTCCTTACTAAACGATCTGTTGCCTGGCCCTTGTCTTCTGTTGTTACAAAACTACTATTTTCGCAGAAGATGACTTAATTAATGTGAAAACCAATTTTAAACATTTCCCATCAGTACGTCCCAAATAACACACAAACGGTAATTGTATTCTTCTTTATGGTACGGAAAGAAGCATTTAGGACTGAACTAAGGATAATATGCTTTCAAATCCAGTATCTCAGCCGTATATATATATATATATATATATATATATATATAGTTCCTTGACAGTTGTCTGTGGACGAGACAGTAAAAGATCCCCACCAACGACAACGTTTTTCCTTTTCTTTTCTGTACTCGGATAGTATGGATTTTGTGTTTTTTGTTGCAGTTAGCACATCGTAAGAGTCAGACACTTTATCAACGTAGGTGCATCATTCAGCCTTATCCGATTAAGCCAATGTAGAGAATATAACAAGGACACTTTAAAAGTAAAAAATCTCATCTCTATGAAATACAACAAATGGATTCAAAAACACAACTGAAAACAAAAAATGATAGTGAGATTATTTTTTATTGATAAAAAGGTGAATAAAAATCACTGACCTTCTTTCCAATTCCAGGTATTTGAGTAAGAAATGCCTGAGCTTCAGAATGAGGAATTGTACGCAGTTCATATAATCGAGATTTGCCTCCATTCTTTAACAACCAATCAGCAGCTTGTCTAGAATAAATTTCAGAAATAAATATTTTTATCAGACTCAAAATACTTGAGTAAAATAATTTGTAATAGCCTATGAGGTCAAATTTTTTTCCAATTACTTTGATTTGTCTGACTATAATATAATAACTGAAGATACAACTAAATGAAAGTAGAGAAGTGTAGGCGTTCTATCTGTCATGATGATAGAAATTGGTGGTTAGTGCGATTCAGGTGAAAGCCGCGCCCTTATATATATATATATATATATATATATATTCTTATCCGGTTTTATGCTAAAGGATAATACTTAAGCTTACTGAGGTTCACATTTTTACATTAAGAATATAACTCAATAAAGAGAGGATGATTTGCTTTCTAATTAGTGTCTCATCAACAGACTTACACCAAAAAGTACAGCATTTTCAAGAGTTGATTTGTTTTTCGAGTTTGACCACGGATCGATACCACTTAGAGAATCATAGTAAACCAGTAAGTACTAGACAGCTGTTCCATCCTAATTTGGGACTCACAAGCATTACGCACCCACTGGTTTTCAAACCCAGAACATTCCGGTTACAAGGCAAGCTCGTATACCATTCAGCCACTGGGACCCGATTCAATGACCAGCCCATGAATTCTAACTTCTACCAATTCGTGATTTTTGGCGCGACCATCAACCAATGTCATCGGCAGGAAATCCATCCCCACACTTGATTGGATGCATCTCACTGGTCACGACTTCTCACTAGAACTCCAGGAAACTCCATCCTGTAGCCAGTCACTAGCAAGCATCAGATTTACTTTCAAGAGTTGATTTGTCAGGATTTGAAGTGTTTTTCGAGTTTGACCACGGATCGATATCAGTTGGAGAACCACTGAAAACCTGGGGAGTACTGGACAGCTGTTCAATTCTAGCTTGCGACTCATCGGCAGAACGCACTTTATCAACAATAACTGATCAATAATAATAATAATAATATGTCCAATAAGTAATAATTAACTAAGCGAATAAGGTTTATAATTACGGCTTAAATTATTTAAACTGACACAAGAATAATGCATGCATAGTCTTTTCGTTTGATGGTGATACATACAACTTCCTAACTTTCATTTTCAACAGTATGAAGCCAACTGATTGTACAATATTTCTGTAATCCTTGAAGTGTTGCAGACGACTTTTTAGAAGGCTTAGAATAAGACTGTGATCATCGATTATTATGATGCGAGACTGCTCAAAAATTCGAGTAATTTCGTGATCAGGGATAGTTAGTGAGTAACAATGAGAAAAAAACACATGTCAGTGGTTCTTATTTGACACACTTGATGATCTCACCATATGATCAGGAAGTTACTTATTTGAAATTTAGTAGATTTTCAACGGTACTAAAGCAGGTGTGATTTAAGTAATCGAACGAGCTCCTAATTAATCTACTACACGAATCAGTAGTAACTGCACCTGTTTTCTTTGAAGTTGTAATTAGCTGTCAAAATCTGCGGGTTATATTGATGAATAAAAGTAAGGTAACCAATATTTTGCTTTTTAGTCATACGATATTGATCGTATTATATCGATTATATTCATAAAGCAGGCTCTAAGATAGTCAGTTTATATTCAAAACTCAATGCTTGCTAAAGAAAAGTATCAAATTCAGTAGTGCGTTTTCACATATATTCACGGAGTTTTAATAATCCAGAAAAACCGTTTATGGAAAACAGAATTCTGCTTTTGTACCTTCTGTATAAAGTATATTACACTAAAATTTCAGTAAGATTTGACAGTAAACCTCATGAAAAAAAAGCCAAGAAGCAAATTAAAAAAAGTTACTAAAATCCAACCACATACACAATAAATTTCGATCGATAACCGAAGCCAATATTTTGCAGCTCATTCATCATCTTCGGTTGTGCAAGTACTTCAAGTGATGGAAATGTCCAATTGCCTACATCACCAGCATCATCATCAAGATACAGGGGATCACCGTACAAACTGCATAGTTTATAAAGTAATTTTGTAATACGTATTAAATTGTTATTAGCTGATGTAATGAAAGCAAATACCGTCTCTACTGGATCTTGTCTCATTAAGCGTAAACCACGGGCTGTATCTGTACTGGAGTTATCTGAAAAACGATTGGTGAACCATTCATCCCGTACGCACCATTCTTTAATTAGATCTGATAAGTTTATTCCAAGTCTAAAATAATCGAATAAATCTGATGGTATATCTGCTAAATCTGAACGTGTATTTGTATGTTTATCCAAGGTATCCAAGTATTCTACAGGCTTGGTGTTGTCAGTTTGACGTAGTCTCCATAGTCTGCCATTTATAACACCATGCCATTCATTATCCGTCGATTTAGAAATCCAACTATAAATGAAGAAAATACTGTGGTTTTAGCAATCAGTATAAATATTCATGTTCTTCACATAGATATTTAAAATGTTTGAAATTATTTAATGACAAATTATGTACACAACACAAAGTAGAAATAAGTACTGTGGCTTGTGCTACCGATAAGACTTATCAGTAGTATATAAAGAAACGTTCATCAGCATGAAAACATCAGATAGCAGGGAGATAAATTTGATGTCAGAGAAGGCAATCGATACAGCGTTGTGGAGATACAGTTGAGACGTGAAAGGAACACAAAGAAACACAATATGAAGGCCAGAAGTAGTACAACACGGAAGATCTGTGCAAATGATGCGTTGAAGAAAGGTGTATATAATTCGGCCATATAGAAATAGTCGTTTTACTCTTCCAACATTGGATTTTATTGGTGTTTTTTCAAAAAAAAAAACAATATGATAATCAGATTTGAAGATGCAACTGTAAAATTCATATCTCAAAGAGAAATAAAATTACCAAAGTAGTCACTATAAAGGTATGCAACACCACCTACAGTATGCCCTATCTTATCTGTGATAAACAGTTACGGAGTGTATGCATCATACTGCTTCAAATGTATGTGTAGTTTTTAAACAGAATTTGTTCACTGTACATCGCATCATATTCAGCTGAAAAGAGTTAGATAATCCTTAATTGTATCGAGAGGTGATTTGGCAACTACTTCGCTACTGCTAAGGGGTGCCGCCAACACTTGTACATCTCATCCAACAGTTGTACGACAATGCTGTATGCCAAGTAATCCATAACGGGAAACTCACGGAATCCTTCGAAGTGAAGACGGGAGTAAGACAAGGCTGGCTGGCTGCCTACTATCTCCAATGATTTTCCTGATTGCGGTAGACTGGATAATGCGACAGACAGCGGGCAACAAGGAGACAGGCATAAAATGGACCCACACAAAAAACTTGGAGGATCTGGACTTCGCCGATGATATATGTCTGATTTCCCACAAACTGGGAGATATGCAAGTGAAAACCAACAAGTTGGCCAAAGAAGCATCAAAGATAGGCCTTCAGATGAATATAGAGAAAACAGAGATGAAGATTCCTGGCCAACAGCAACAGCAACAACAACAGACAACAGTCAGCCAGCATAAATGGGAGGAATCTGAAAGAAGCAACCTTCTTTACCTACCTACCTAGGAAGTATCGTTTCAACTACAGGCGGACGGAACTGATGAGGAAATCACAGGGAGGATCGGGAAAGCAAGGCACGCTCTCATTACTCTCAAGTCTGTGTGGAGGTCAACAACACTCAGCATCAAAAATAAGATCCGGATTTTCAACTCCAATGTGAAGTCAGTGCTACTACACGGATCAGAGACTTAGCCAGCGCATCACGAAGAGTACTTCGAACAAACTACAGACTTTCACCAACAGCTGTCTTCGCTCAATACTCAAAATCAGATGGCCAGCCAGAAAATATCAGCAACAGGGATCTCTGGGAGCGAACCAATCCAGCAGGAACCAATTGTGCAACAAATAAGCAGGAAGAAATGGAGGTAGATTGGCCATACTCTGAGAAAACCATCAAGTGACATCACACGATAGGCTCTCGAGTGGAACCCGAACGAGAAGCGGCGAGTTGGCTATCAGTGCGAGGGTGACATGGAGGAGGTGATGTGAAGAGGAGAGGAAAGCATAAGGGCAAACGTGAAGCCAGGTGAAAACGTTGGCAGAAAACCGAACGCAATAGAGATATGCGACAGAAGCCCTATGTTCCTCTAGGAACTAAGGGAAACAGTAATAATGATAAATTGTATCTGGTAAATTAATTAGTAAAATGAAATGCATATTTTTCATTTCAATCATAACAGGAACTATGAACCACTGCTTTCCATTTATTATCTCATCTTTTCCTCGCACAGTCTCTCTCCATATCACCCTCGGATATCCATCCAGGTTACACTTGAGGGCCTGGTGCGCGATGTTAGTTGAAGGTCTACTCAACATATGTCCGATTATTCTCCATTTCCTTCGGTATACTTGTTGGGCAACACGTTTTTGATTGGTTCGTTCCCAGAGTTTCCTTTTGCTAATTCTTTCCAGCCAGCACTGATCTTCGATTTGGAGAAGAGACAGCTGTTGATAAGTCTGCAGTTAACTGTTGGAGATGCTTTTCGTGAGAAGTGCGCCAAGTTCCTTGACCATGTAGAAGAAGCGGGCGACTTAACATTCGTGTTGAAAATCCGAATCTTGTTTCTTATGCTGTGGTAGAGTGCAGAAGATTTCCAAACTGCTTTCAGGTTGGTGAAGGCGTATCTTGCCTTTCTGATTCTGACTGCTTTTGACACCTTCATCCGTTTCGCCTGCCTGTGGTTGAAATGATGCTTCCTAGATAAGTAAAGGAAGTAACCTCTGTCAAATCTCGCCCACTGACGGTGATTGGTGCTGGTTGTTGTTGCTTTTGGTTGGTTGGTTATCTTCATCACCTTCATCTTCTCTATTCTCATGTGGAGTCCTGTCTTCACTGCTAGCCTCTTCAGCCAGTTTGTTGGTTTTCGCCTACAGGTCTTAAAGTTGGTGTGACATTAGACATATATCATCTGCGAAATCCATATTTTTAGGGTCTTCCTGTCAATTCCACGTATTCCTGTCTTCTCACTCCCAACGCCACAGTCTAACGCATAATCCAGTCCACCAAAATTAAGAATATCATTGTTGATAATAAGCAGTCTTGTCTCACTCCTTTATGTACTTCGAACGCCTCACTGAAATTTCCGTTGTGGATCACTTGACATGTGGCACTGTCATATAGCCATCTTTTGAATGAGGTTGATAAAGATTTGGGCACTGCACACCGTAGTGTTCAAGTATTTTCCAAATTACTTCTCGGTCAATGCTGCACTGTGGAAAGCCTTTTCAAAGTCGCTGAAATTAAGGCAGAGGTTTGACTACCATTATTTACTTTTTCGATTATGCTAAGCAGAGTTGCAATTTGATTAGTACATGATTCGGTTTTCCTGAATCCAGGTTGTTCGGGATGGAGTTCTTCATCCAGGGCATTATTTATTCTCTCCAGCATGACGCGACTTAATATTGTGTTTGGCGTGGACAAGAGCATGATTCCACGCCAGTTCTTGCAGAAGCGTAAGTCGCCCTTCTTTGACAGTTTAACAAGGCAGCCTTTCTTCTGATCACTAGGTACTTCTTCTTTCCAAACCTTTTGTAATAATGGCGTGAGTATATCTGCTGCAGTATCTCTATCCTACTGCTTTCTATGCGAGACTGGAAATAACATTCGATCATGAATATTTACTAAGATGATAAATCATTAGAATATGTGTTCAACTTTTAATCAGAGAATGTAAGTGATTTTTCACTGTCACCTCATTTTTTAAATGATTTTCGACCAAGTTAAGCGAAAATCATTTGATATACGACATACTTTTCATCGAATTGAAAAGTTTACAAAGTCTACATGCGGAAGTGAATAGCTACTTAGTCGTTAGTAAATAAAGTATGCAAATCGACCTTCTTTATGCACATAAAAAGGGGAGGTATTCGCATTACTTATCCTACAATTTTTTATAAAAGGATATAAAGCAGCTGCTCAGTTAAAAAAAACAAGAAGATAGAAAATGAACTCTCACCGGAAAGCCTGACCGCTATTTAAGGTAGCAAACAGATTGAAATCCTTCGGACATACAGGTATTGAACGCCAATTGTTTACTTGTTTCTAAAATTAAAAAAGTAAACATGTAATGAAGATTCTGATATTTAGTTGTATTCTCTCAGCTGGTTGATTTAATTGTGAAGCTTTCATCGTCCCCCTTCTAGACAACATCTTCAGAGCAGGTTTTAGTATAAAATGAACTTATTTGAATTCCTTATAAATGATATTTATTTGTATGTCCTGATAACCATCGTCGTGACTGGTTGTTAATTTACGCCTCTATTGATAATTTTTCTTGACTTGGAATTTGAACTTTCTTTCCATTTGATGATTCACTTTTTATTAGATGGCAAATTTGATCTATAGTAATGTGTTTGTTAATTGCTGACTCATTTGACTACCAACCAAGCTTCTAGAAATTCCCTGGTATTTTTGGTGTTTCCTCTATTTAAAATTTCTACATTATCCCAATCAAACCGGTGTCCATAATTATCTACATGCACTGATATGAAAGAATATTTATATCGTCCATTTTTACAGGTAATTTGTGGTCTTGGATACGGATTCGAAAGGGATACACACTTTCGTGTGTTTATTGCAGTTCATACAAAATAAAATGTATGAACTGTTTACATTAATTATGGAATAAAAGCAATGATAATAATAATTTGGAGATACATCAAGCTGAAGATTTGATAAATGCAAAAACTAATCATTAAGGCTTAAAATCTTTATGACTGAAGAAATTAACATGCACAAATAACATTTTTGTGGATTATATTAGACTCCAAGCAGAGGTGTAGTAGTCTACTATTGAGTAATACAGGGGTAAAAATAAAAGTTGTAGATTACGTAATACTCAACAGTACAAAGGAAGAAAGTGTTAGAAATTGGATAAGGTTAAGAATTTTTATTGAGTGAGAAGAAAGGTAGTTGAGTGTCAATTCAACAAGTGTGAGGAGGGCGAGAAAATGTACAAAAGGAACATATGAGAGTGATAATAATGAATTAATTATTACAGTGAAAGCAAAGTAAAAGTAAGATTAAAAAATTTACAGGGAACGACTAGTGTAGAGGTTAAGAGCATGGTGGAATAAGAGGCTAGACAAACGTTTTCTGTATACAGAGTTCTGGGTTGGACTGACGAATTGCCAGCTCCTCCACCATGCGTTTGGAAAGTGTGCGCTTTGTGCGGCCGCACAAATTACTACTAGCTCAATTCTCGAGCATTCGATGAACTCTAACTACGTAGCTCCACCAGAGTCGTCTTTCAAGATTATCTATAAGGTGAGACCAAACGGTGTGAAGGGTGTCAGGTTTCGGCATTTGTGTATGGCGGAGGAGCTGGCAATTCGTCAATCCAACCCAGTATTCTGTATATAGAAAAGTTCATCCAGTCTCTTATTTTACCATGATCTTAACCTCTACACTAGTCGTTCCCCGTAAATTTTTTAATCTTACTTTTAGTTTGCTTTCACTGTAATAATTAATTCATTATTATCACTCTCATATGTTCCTTTTGTACATTTTCTCGCCCTCCTCACACTTGTTGAATTGACACTCAACTACCTTTATTCTCACTCAATAAAAATTCGTAACCTTATCCAATTTTCAACACTTTCTTCCTTTGTACTGTTGAGTATTACGTAACCTACAACTTTTATTTTTACTTTCGAGGCCACTTCTGGGTAATTATATCAATTATTTCACCCACCCACCACCCTATTACACCGTAATAGACAACTATGCATTTTTGGTAAATATAAATACGACTGTACAGCCTCTGAAGATGATTTCGTCGATAAAGAAAATTTTCTTCGCTGAATTGTCTTTTTTCTTCAGACTTAATTCTGGAAAGAAACAAGGTGTAAATTACACTATGGTGATTAATAATTTATTCTCGAAGATTGCAAATAAAAATCCCTCAGTATGCCTTGTCTGAGGAAAAGTCAACACAAATCAGCGAACCAAGGCGGAGGTCAACGAGAGAGACATAAAACTTGAAAATAGAAGCATTAACCTTAATACAAAAGAAATATAAATAAACATACCGAATGAGTCCACCTATATCACTGTCATCTTTTTGAACTATATCGCATACAATCTCCGATAATCTCTTTCTATTGCTCCACTAAAACCGAACGGAAAGTCGGAAAGCTTCTATAAAGCTAATAACAATTTCAAAACACTGATGAGTGGAACACATGAACTTATGACTGTTCATGCCTTCATCTTGGGTTCTTAACATCCGTAACTTTATAATCAGAAAGATATATCGATAAGGCAGAATATTAATGTCCCGAATAACAATGAATACACCACAGTTGTTATTTTTTCTAATAGTACCCTTTTTCATATTTGAAAATGAGGTAAACCTAGCTAATACAATGTAACGAAATCCAGAGTATGTTAATACAATCTACCTAAGTGGTTAAGGCATAAATAAGTTAGGACCAGTGGCTCAAATTATGAGTCTTATTCCTTACAGTCTAAGACTATTTATTTAGACTACCTCATGTAACTCGGGTATAAGAAGCACATTTTTCTAAATCATTCAGAAACTTACGTCGGAAACTGTATTTGTATTATAACTGGAATTTTATATGCGAAAAGATTATTAGTAAGAAAACTAATAACAATAAAATTACACCTTAGTATTACTGTGTAGTTGACCAGAATGTTACACATCAGCTAGGTGACAAAAATGAAAACTTTACACTCAGTTATACTTCGTCTAATGATTCCTAAAGGATAACATAAAGTGAGACGAAGGGAAAAATACGATATTACAGTGAAGTATAAACAAGATATTTTAGCATCTGTAGAACTGTAATATATTCGGAACCGTATCGCTTTGGTCCTTCAACTATGCATTTTCATTATGGTGTACACAATGGTGATGAGTTACCTTACTCAGACCAATAATATAACCGCGAATTCTTCTAAATTAATATTTATTCCGATAACAAAGTATGTTAGGATAAGTGCTTATTCAACATATTCCGGTCACTTTAAGATGTCTACTAAATCTCGATCTTTTTTGGATTATCTAATTAGTGGTTCAGCAAAACACTAATTGCTTTTCAACATGCCTTACATGCTCCATTTTTATTAGACACATTCCATAGACAAAATATGCAAAAGTATTCGGAACAGTTAGCGATCCGTTGCGTCACAAGCCAAATAAAAGACGTAGATAAATGAAATTAGAGCTAGCCGAGATGATAAATTATACGAAAGGTCAATTACGATGCTAATTAGAGATAGTTTCATCAGACTGATATAGATCGCTGGACAACGCCGTCTGTAAGCAGAACTTTTCCTACAATAATCACGGGTTATGAGCTTATCTAAGTGTCTAACAGCGTAGTTTTACGAAGACTAAATGGGAATCAAGAGAAACAAACTGGAACCCTTCGGGCACACTGATAAAACTTTCACCAATCAATAGGTCTTAAAAAATGGGCATAATTACTGATGTTCAACTCTTGCTGTACCTATTTATTGGAGTTCATCGATCAAAAGACACTATAGCCACGTTTGGTTGTATTGGGAACATCAAGAACGTAAATTATACTTATAAAAACACTGCTCGAACTCACTAATTTACACAAGGGTTTACAGAATAATGCCGTCGCGCATTCCTGTTGTCACAGTAGACATACTAATGGATTCTCTCTAACTGACTTCGATTTCTTTGGAATCGATTTGATAACACGGAAATGTTTGATTGATTCAGAAATCGCACAGTACATGATGGCAATTATAAAATTCTGCTATAGGAGCACTCTAGGTGAAAATTTGAGTTGTTTAGGCATGCAGATTGCTACTGTCAAATGTAAAATGATGCCATCGGACTAGTTTGCACAGACCTTTAATTTTAGGAGAGGAGTGAAATGACTGCATTGTTCGTCCGCGACGCCTACTTGATACACTAGCTTCTAACGAAATCTCAACCTACAGTACAAAAAGTCCGGTTTGATATTTATCAAGACAAACCAACTTTGTAAGAGGTGAAATATTCAAGGACTTTTGGTAACGTGGCTCAAAATCACTCACAATCACAAGTGTGCATCGTGGTAAATCTAAACATCTTCGCTGATCTATTCTTTCAGTTCCATCTAACTGGGACTGCCAAATTTCTGCTTTCTACTTGTAGTAAGTGTTATTTTGAAGTGCGACAAATTGAACCGTTGGACATGTAGATGCAAAATTTTTGTTAATTAATCACTTGACTTCTTTGTATGAAATTTTCCTAGCTTATTTTAGCCACAAAGTAACAATGGGATGCAAGCCTTTAGTTACTGAATCAAAAAGATTATTTTCTTTTTCATGTGAATCAAACCAGCCAGGGGCACATTTTTTCAACTTTAACTCAAATCCTTGCTGTTTCAATTGTTCTCTCTTGTTTAATGTTGCTTTACCTTTCTGATAACAATGTACAGTTCAAATGATTACAGGATAGTGTATAAATATGAAAGGTATATGCAGATATGGTTGAATATTTGCTCGATATCGTGTCCATCAACTCAACGAGTAAATCACTAAAACTAATTCTTCATTAATAAATTTCACTGAACTTTTTCATGCCAATTCCTTCGTTTGCTACTTCCGCCTCCATGATCACACAGAGTAACGAAGTAGATTTACCAATAGTCTCTTAATTATAATTATATGGCAAGAAGAAATTCTGTTCTCGTGTAATTCATTAGTTCAGAAGTTGCAGAGATACACTCTCACTGTGTCTTAACAATCAAAATCAGACTAATTAGATCATCAAGTATCCAAAGGAGATAAGAATTACAGGCAACATGACACTCACAAACACACAGACATTTCAAAAAAAGTGCAAAACACTTTTATCAACTAAAAAGAAAAAATAAATCACACAAGCATTAACAATAAACAAATTCATATGATCCTGTATTGTATATTATTATATGTATATTTTTAAATCAGTGTCACAATAAATCTCGAACTACTATATATATATATATATATATATATATATATATATATATATATATATATATATATATATATATATATATATTATATATGTGTGTGTTCGAGGGATCTAGAAGCGGGAAAAGACAACAGCAACAAAAACAACAACAACAATAATAATAATAATACTAGCAACAATAATGAAATAAGGGAAAAAACCAAAAAAAAGAGGAGAGAAAACAAAAATCAAAAAAAGGTTAATCACACTATTACATTGAGTCATAGTCATCATATTATTAATAAAGAAAACTGTGAACTAATTACTTGAAACAATTTATGTATATGTAAGAATGACAAGAGACAAGTTCGAAAGAGTACTCATTCCTTTGAAATGCAACGTAATAAAATAATCACATAGAGATGATGACAAAAAGAGAAAGAGAACAAACAAACGAGAAAAGACAGAGGAAGAAGAAATCAATGGGAGATGAAATGTGCCAGAATAAAAAAAATGGAGAAAAACATACCAAACACGTAGGTACATTTGAAATTCGTTTTATGATGGATAAATGATAAAATACAACTGACTTCAGAGCAATTATTGAGTATGTAGACAATCACAAGCTGAAATGATAAAACGCACATTCACACACACGACACGTACAGGCATACCAAAGGTAGTCAAACAAGAGAAAATAAATGGAAAAGTTGGTTTTTTTTATAAAAAAAAAGTACAGTCTTAAAACGACGGTAAATTTCTTTTCGATCCTTACTGTGAACACAGCAACAGAGTAGTACAGTAAGAGGTAACAACAGAAGACAAATAACATATTCTTTACTGATTGACAATCTAAATGCATTTGATGAATATTATTTCTTTTCCCCTTTTTCAGAGTAAACTGATAATTTGAATGAGAGAATAAATGAAAACCAGTAGATAGCAAAAGGGAGAGAAAATTTAAATAAAACGCGAAATGTATATATTATGTTCATTTAACTGAATGATTGAATTTAACCTGAGAGTGGGGGGCGGGGAGGGCGGCTGGGTAGTAGTGTTCATAAAAACATGTGGATAATTTTTATTTGTGATGGTAAATAAAAGTTGAAAGATTTGTATATGTAGTATAGGATAAATGAGATTACATAATGAACAAACAAATCAAGTTAACAGAGCATGAATTATATATATGTATATATATATATATGTGTATATATATATATATGAGATAACTCCTAATCAAAGAAATATAAATTAATGGTATATAATATATATGGAATGAAATTAAATGTGCACAGGGAATCGGAATAAATTGATTCATCATTATCATCATTATAGTGATTATCATTGCTGTGCATCACATATAAAGTAAGATGAACATTCCAGCACAGGTGTTGAGTAGAGCCAAGATCAAGTATGATTTGCCTTGGGAAAACATTGTTCAAATTATTTGTTCTATGAGCTTAACCAAATGAGATGATACAATATCTCTTGTACTTCGAATTGTTACACGATACATCTAAAAACAAATAAAACAAAACAAAAGGATACCAATAACTCATTATTTAAAAGAATATTGATTGAAGTAGATCATTGTTATTATTATTATTACCTTCCAGTGGACCATTCTAGGGGAATTTATGGCATTAATAAGAAAACTAATTGGTTACAGGATTTCATCATGAGCTGACATCGGTTAGAGAACCATTGGAAAACCTGCACGGAGTACTGCCAGACAGCTGTTTCATCCCACTGGTTTCGGACTCTTCATCAGTACGCACCCACCACAGGACGTTCGAACCCAGGACCTTCCCGTTACAAGGCTAGCGAGCTCGTAGACCATCCAGGCACTGGGACCCGATCTAATGCCTAGTCCATGAATTCCAACTTCTGCCAATTCACGACATAGTGCGACTACTAACCAATTTCTTCAGCGAGTATTTGTTCTCACACCCAACCTACTGCACCCTACTGGTCACGACTTCCCATTAGAACCCCAGAAAACTACCTACATCAATAGAGCCAGTCGCTAGTGCGCAGCTCATTGATATTTAAGCTGTCCAGTACTCCCAGGCTTTCCAATAGTTCACTAACTGATGTCAACTCATAATGAAATCCTGTAACCAATCAATCAAATCCCTACAAACCAATACTTGAAAAGAAAAGAATCCCAAACTAGAAAGTAAGATCAGTATAATGAGTGGTTTTTAATGGTCTTCTGAGTGATGTCGATTTGTGACGGAAAGTACTAATTCAATTCCACTGCGATTGACTTCATATAAAAATGAAGCACATACACAAGCAGTAAGACACTGGCTTAGGGACTGAAATCTAGTCTAAAATGGCAGTGACTGTAATCGTAGCGTTGGTGAGTCGATGAAACTATAGTTGGAAGCCTCCAACGAAACATGTTTCAACCAATTCCGAATGAACGAAGTCTTCTTTAAAATCTTATTTTAATTTTCAAAGAAAATCATAGGAGTAATCACGTTAGACATAAATGTATATTTGTTTTGCTTATTTCACATTTCTCTAATAGAGAGTAGCATAGAATATACGCCATTATCGCGGTAATATAAAGCATAATGATGTCTATTCTGAATAGTGATCAACATACTATTCATAAAATCTAATGGTTTGATGTACTACTTAGTTGCAAAAGAAACCACATGCATCTAATTATCTACGCTCACTCATCAGACATCATCTAAAAATGAAATTTCAAACACCATAATAACATACTGACAATCGACAATTCAGCAATTTAAAAATCGCAAGTATGTTACATGATTAAACCTTAAAATGAAAAGAGACGAATATGTCTAACAAAAATTCCACACAATTCTATCATTAAAAATAATAATAATTCCAAAATCAAATACCTTTGACTGTGTATTAGGTTCTAATCGAAGAAGTACACCGACTTGTTGACTACTGGTAACAACAATGCCTGCACCAACAATATTTTGCGGGTTGGGATCAATTCCATCTAGCAGACTGAATCCAAAGTTTCTAGTCTATGAATACAAAAAAAAACCAATAAGAAAAGTGTAACGAATAATACGATCACTCTATTGATCCCGAAGTTCTCTCTCCGTCTGGATTCAACATAAAACTTGGCACCGAAGTGCAGCAGTTCGAGTTGCCACGTTCCAAATAGCACACAAAGGTAGACAAGAAAATGAGTGAAGAGAATCAATAGAGTTTTGACAAGTATACAAGTGAAATAGAATGAGTAATGACAGAAAGGAATATGAAAGATTACAGAGACTGAATACATCTGCGCCATTGACAACGATTTTGAGCCATGTCACCTACTGTCTCCAGCCATTGATTCTTAGAGTCCCGAGGACGGGCCCCAACCCGGAAGTCTGCATCTCCCTACCTGACTCAGTTTAACTGTCAAGGATTTCATGGATTGATGCCATGTTTTTGTTTGGCCACCACTTACTCTTTTCCAACCTGCACCTATATCAGCTAGTAATGCCCGTCGGGGGAGGCAAGCGCAGCACGTGACCTAGCCATCTCAATCTATGTAATTTTATAGCCTCTTCGATTGATTTTCCCTCTTTGCCCAACACTCTACGCCTAACGTCAACATTACTTACCTCATTATGCCACCTAACATGAGAAAGAGATCGTAGACATCTATGATCAAAAACAGCCAACCTTTTCATGTCTTCAACTCGTAGTGACCATGTTTCAGAGCCATAGAGAAGGACGGAGCGAACTGCTGAGCAGTACACACGTCCCTTGGTTGATAGCCGGATGTCACGCCTACGCCAGAGACGGTGTAAATTAGCGAAAGCAGCCCTAGCTTTCTGGATCCGTGCTGAGATTTCGTCACCAATCAATCCGTTGGTGCTGATACAACTTCCTAAATAGGTGAAGTGGTCAACATGTTCTATCACTTCACTCCCTATCACTAAGCTTGGAGTTGACGTAGTCCAGTCGTGTAGCAGCATCTTACATTTTACAGGGGTGAATCGCATACCAAACATACGAAGATTGCTGCCCAAGGTGTTCAGAAGACTCTGCATTTTGTCAGCGTCCTCCCCTAACAGGACTATGTCATCTGCGTATTCTAAGTCTATAAGACTATTCCCTGGTAACAAGTCGATTCCTAAGTCGTTAAGTTCATTTAAGTGTACTTCCATTAGCATATCTATGATGAAGTTAAACAGAAAAGGGGAAAGTGGACATCCTTGACGGACACCACCGGTTGTTATCAATTCAGATGACAATTCCCCATAAGCCCTTACACAGCTACGTGAGTTTGAGTAGAGTGTCTTGATTAGTGCAATGTACTTTCTTGGCACTCCTTTTACAATCATACATTGCCATAGTACCTCTCGATCCACGGAGTCGAAGGCCGCCTTCAAGTCAAGAAATATGGCAATTGTTGGACGCCGAAAAGTGTATCTATGTTCTACGATCTGTCGGAGAGTGAAGATATGATCTATGATCCCGAAGGTAACAGTCAATGAGCTTTAAAGACCATCTTAGTAACTACATCTATTATACATCTCGGATACTTTACTGCATGTTACTACTACTATGGGGAAAGATGCACTATCATATGAAAAAATATGACGAATCAGGTGTCGGCATTACAGTTCGATGCTTTTTTCAGATACTCGAAGGAAACGTGAGTTTATGATGAATAGCTAGTTTAGTTGTGACCATAAACTGAAGCAGTTTACTTGAAAAGTACTAGTCTACAACAAGAATCGTAAATAGTTCTGAAGATGATAAAGTGCATGTATCTGGATAACACGTATGGTTTCAAAAACCATATGAATCATAATATAATTTCTGAATTGAATAGCTATGTATGCATAGTAATTGCCCGTACTAATATTAATCATTGGTACATGTATTTTCCAGTCGTTATAAGCATTTGTATGGAAGACTTTTGAAAGGCATATAACAGGATAATGCACACCACTAAAACAAAAATTCATAATACTGCAGGTGACAAAGGGTAAATTAAATTAGCTGAATACAAATTCATATACCCAACGACCTGCTAGCCTCACTAAGCTCTTCAACAGCCAATGTGCACTTTACGGTACAGAAGAATTCAACAATAAAAATCCTTTCAACTTAAATATATGCTTTATCTAGCATTACCCAAAAGATGACTAGACATGTCTATATACCACCTACCATAGTCAAGTATAAAAAACAATGTTAGACTTAATGCCTTTAAAAAAAACATGTTTTAGGGGAGTTTTAGTGTCAACAAAATGTTATCTGCGACGAGAAATCAATCAGCAGAAAAACTAACTAGGATCGATTTTCGCTATTGTGTAAAAAACATACCAGTACTAACTGGATTATTACTTTTATTTATCACTAGGAACAATGATACAGTATAGGTAAACAATTTGATGAACCTGTACGCATCAAGGGTAATTCCACCGTTGGCTTCATTAAAACTATCGACATTTGTTTTTTTTTTCTTCACGTTCCCCAGTGGAACATAGGGCTTCAAGTTTCTGTGGCAGTGTTTATTTTACAGGATGGGGTTGCTAGCCTCATGCCCAACCTCTCCTCTTCACCAGCAATATTTCTGGCTTAGCGAGGTAAAGGATTGCGTCGGCCAGGGATCGAACCCCGGACCATGTGCATGGTCGGCGAGCGTCCTAACCGCTATGCCACCGACGCACATCTGGTTAGTTTACACGAATGTAACACAACCGTTTAAAAGTCCAACTATCTAGAATCCTTTAGCACCAGCAATCACATATTAGATCAAATCCATAATGATAATATAGTGTGAATAATGCATACAGGTGTATTTCGAAACAAGCCAATAATAATGACGACAGAAGTAAGAGTAGTAGTAATCACTTTAAGAATGAATGCTGTACAATAGAGAGAAGACTGTTGCAACTCATTAATCTCAATGAATACCAACTTTTCAGTTAAAATGGAAGCATAAACACACTAAGATATGCTAAGAAAAAGGTAATAATTCAAGAGACCACCAATACTATCATCATCATCAGTTATAATACTACTACATTCAATACACACAGATGATCCATTTACAAGATAGTTATAACTACTATTATGCACAAACGCTCACACATACCGTAGAACAACTGTGCTATGCGACAGACAGATATGCAAATAAACAACCAGCAGCTTAGTAGTGAATTAATAATTAATTAGGTCACAAATTATACACAAATACAAATCAATAAGTGCTAAACATTTACTTTAGTAGTTTGGAATGACTGTATACGACGACAACAGTTAATTCACTTTGACTAACTCTTGAGCTACACGAGCACGCACACACACACACACACAGATCAATAATGCTCGAATTACATGATCATAAACAACACAGCTTTAAATGGATACCAGCAATCATTTGTTTTAAAAACTACTGGTTGGTGAAAATTCAAAAACATGAATTTCCCGTTTTTATAGGATAACTGCCATTAAATATATATATATATATATAATACTTCTAGGGCAGTAAATAAGATTACATTAAAAATGTATCTTCTGATCTATGCCAAATAATTTATGTATTAAATACCATAATACTTTTATAGACATAACAGTTAAGATTTAAAATCAATACAGAATAAACCTGATAATTATGGACAGTATTATATATGGAGAATGAATAAATACACATCTTAGAAAGCCAAACGTCTTAGTAGATAAAACATTTGGTTTCCAAATTATAGTTCACAACATGTATCTCTATCTAGTTATATTTCTCTTTCCTGAGGAGGGAAGGTTTCATATAATGCAATAATCTGAAGTGGATTGTCGAGTAACACAGAAATTGTGATCAAAAATAGTCAGACATGTACGTAAAACTATCAGTGGTAACTATGACTAAACAAAGTGATTTTAAGTCTTCAAATGATAACAATGACAAAATACAGAAAGTTGAAACAGGCAGACTACATGTGTACTCTTTATTTATTTGGTATTCGGTAACAGTAAAGAATAGACACCGACTTCAGACGACCTTGAAACAGCCAATCAGATTCTTCTGGGTGAAAAATAGTACTTAATTACAAAGAAGTGTATCTACGATATATATATATATATATATATATAAATGAATCATATAGGGTATATATCTCTAATATGCTGCAAAAACTGGTGCCAGATCCTCATAGAAGTGGTTATAGACATATCATACCAATGTATTCTCTATTTCTCCAGCTGTAGCAGATACTGGTTGCATATACGCAATATATTACTAAGGGAGAGCTTTGATTTCGAAAAGGTGTCTAAAAAATCACCAATTATGTACGACTTACCAACTTATCCACACTTCCTCATATAAAGTGGTTGCATCTGAATGTATAACCATCAATAGCCCGGCAATACTTTTGCAGAGTTATTATCGCTCCGCATATGCATGTTTTATTCCTCCCTAACAACACATTTTCCACAGAGAAGTCAAAAACCAAATCTAAGAGACATTTTCAACGAGGATTATGACTAGCAAGCAATTGTAATGCTGAGCTATCTGATTGGTCAAATCAAGGTCAATTGACTTTGGTGTCTATTGTTTACCCTTGCCTGGTATTCAAAGAAATACGGTCTCCTGGAAACGTTAATAACGTGGTTGCAGTAACGCCTAACAGATTTTGCCTCCCTTGAGTTTTTCAGTAGTATGTTGAAGATTACATTTGTCAGTGAATAAGATGACTTAAACAATAGTCGGTTGTTCTGGAGGTTAGTTCTATAATCTAATAGTTCAAGAGAGGCATGCACTATTATGTCGTAAAATTCAACTGGTTTAATCAAATTTACAACTAAAAACCTGTTCTTTGAAAAAAACCTTCTTTATTCTGTGCATATCCACAAAATAATAGACAGCAGATTCAAGCAAAAGTTATAAAAGCCCATGTCTTCACTAAATTTCAACGTAGAAATTGACACAAATGTATAGTAGTTCTAGTTGTCACATTTTAATAAGCACACGAAGGTAGAGAGAGAAAATTAAAAGAAATTATAATCAACAAAAATGTACAGGAGAAGGAATGTACATATATATATATATACCAAGAGTTGAGATGGATCGAACGGGAATGGACTCACCAAATTGTCAACGGGTCAGTGAGTGATCTACTCCGGTCGCCCAGAGGATAACCACATGCACACCGAGGGCGTGGCTATAATGATGTCACCAACGGCAACCAAGGCCCTGATGCAATGGGAGGCGATCTCGCCCAGGATAATGACCGCCAGATTCAACTCCAAAGGAAGGAAAGTGTCAATTATACAATGCTATGCACCAACAAACAACGCAGACCTCGAAAAGAAAGAGGAATTCTACAGACAACTACAGGCAACAGTGGACAATACTCCAGTCGGCGATATTAAAATATTAATGGGAGACATGAACGCCAAACTGGGATCAGACAACACAGGAAAGGAACTCATCAAGGGTAGAGAAGCTCTCGGAGAAATGAATGAAAACGGAGAACTCTTCGCCGACTTCTGCGCCTTCAATGAACTAGTGATTGGTGGCAGCGTATACAAACACAAGGATATCCACAAGGCTACATGGGTGTCACCAGATGGGCGAACCAAAACCAAATTGACTTCATCTCAATCTCAAAGAAGTGGAGGCGCAGCCTACTGGACACAAAAGTAAGAAGAGGAACAGACGTTGGCTCAGACAACTACCTCGTACAAGAGAAAATCCAAATTAAATTAAAAGCTTTCAGAGAAACAGCAGATGCAGATAGACCACAAGCCAAGTTCAACACTGAAAAACTGAGGGACCAGGATACAAAGGATATCTTCACTGCAAGCATAAAGGACAAAGCCGAGACACAAATCAACACTGGCGAAGAAGTCAGCGTCGAAAAATACTGGGACAACTTGAAAACAGAGTGGAGTCAAACCTGCATGGAAGTTCTAGGCAGAAAGAAAAGACAGGACAAAAAGTGGCTCACTACGGACACTTGGAGACTGATAGAAGAGAGAGGGATGGTGAAACAAAAGATTCTCCAGTGCACCGACGAGCAACAAAAACAGGATTTGAATGCAAGCTACAATACACTGAACAAAAGAGTAAAGAAGAGTGCCAGAGAAGACAAAAGAAAGTATTATGAAGCCATGGCAAGTGACGCAGAACAAGCTGCAGGCAAAGGAGACCTCGCAACACTCTACCAAACTACTAGGTACCTTCCGGGCAAAAGTTCGACACAAATTAAGCCGGTGAAGGATGACAATGGAAAGTCAATCACCAAAGAAGTAGAGCAAAGGAAACACTGGGCTGAACACTTCAAAAGACTCCTAAATCGACCACCACCGACAACGCGCCCAACAATACCAACAACGGATACAGAGCTACCAGTGAACACCAACCCCCCAACGAAATCAGAAGTCCTGAAGGCAATCAAGATGCTAAAAGCTGGAAAAGCAGCAGGACCAGATGGAATCCCAGCAGAAGCATTGAAAATGGACCCAGACACACCAGCAGACTTGATGACGCCACTACTGGAGAAGGTGTGGAAAGAAGGCAAAGTACCCGAGGATTAGAAGAAAGGATACTTATTCAAACTACCAAAGAAAGGAGACTTAAGTCAATGCAAGAACTGGCACGGAATTATGCTCCTGTCCATCCCAAGCAAATTACTAAGCCGCATCATCCTGGAGAGAATCAAACATGCCATGGATGAAAACATCGACCGGAACAGGCTGGATTTAGGAGAAACAAGTCATGTATTGATCAGATCGCCACATCACGGATCATCATTGAACAAAGCTTGGAATGGCAGTCACCTCCCTACCTCAACTTCATCGACTTTGAAAAGGCCTTAGACAGAGTCGATCGAGAGGTGCTTTGCCAATTACTTCGCTACTACGGGGTGCCACCGACAATTATACATCTCATCCAACTACAGGCGAAACTGACGAGGATATCAAAGCAAGAATCGGGAAAGTAAAACAAGCTTTCACTACTCTCAAGTCTGTGTGGAGATCAACAGCACTCAGCATGAAAATGTAAATAAGATCCGGATTTTCAACTCCAATGTGAATTCAGTGCTACTATACAGATCAGAGACTTGCACTGCGCGTCATAAAGAGCATCTCAAACAAACTACAGACCTTCATTAACAGTTGTCTTCGCTCGATACTCAAGATCAGATGGCCAGAAAAGATCAGCAACAGGGATCTCTGGAGAGCAAAACAACCCAGCATGAACCGATTGTGCAACAAATATGCAGGAAGAAATGGAGATGGATTGGCTATACTCTGAGGAAACCATCAAGTGACATCATTAGACAAGCCCTTGAGTGGAAACCGAAAGGGAAGCGGCGAGTTGGTCGTCCAAGGGTGACTTGGAGGAGGTCATATGAAGAGGAGATGAAAACGTGTGGGCAGACTTGGAGCCAGGTGAAGACTCTAGCAGAGAACTGAACGCAATGGAGACGGACGGCTGAAGCCCTATGTTCCTCTAGGAATTAAAGAAAACAATAATAATAATAAGAGTTGAGCTTCAGGTGCTCACTCCTTCAGAATAATATTCTGATAGTGTTATTATACGGCTATTGTTTTCAACATGACAGAAGAAAAGATTTAGGAAGAATATACTAGTGTAATACGCACAAAGCATAGAATGGCAGTCAAACCTCTACCTCAACTTCATCGACTTCGAAAAGGCCTTCCACAGTGCAGCATTGACCGAGAAGTAATTTGGAATATACTTCAACACTATGGTGTGCAGTGCCCAAATCTTTATCAACCTCATTCAAAGCTATTTGACAGTGCCACATGTCAAGTGATCCACAACGGAAAACTCAGTGAGGCGTTCGAAGTACATAAAGCAGTGAGATAAGACTGCTGATTATCACTAATGATATTCTTAATTATTGAGAACTGGATTATGCATAAGACTGTGCGTTGGGAGTGAGAAGAAAGGAAGACGTTGGACTACCGATAAGAAGAGTCTTGAAGATCTGCATTTCGCGTATGGATGATTTATGTTTAATGTCAAACAAAACCGAAGACCTACAGGGGAAAACCAGGAAGTTGACAGAAGAGTTAGGCAGCGAAGACAGGACTTCAGGTAGACATAAAGAAGACTGAGTTGATGAAGATAATCAAACACCACTAACAGCATCAATCACCATCAACAGGAGAGATTTAACAGAGGTTACTTCCTTCACTTATCCAGCCAGCAAGCACGGTTTCAACCACAGGCAGGCGGAACGGATGGAGACGTCAAAACCAGCCAGAATCGGAAAGGCAAGACACGCCTTCACCAACCTGAAAGCAGTTTGGAAATCTTCTGCACTCCACCACAGCATAAAGAACAAGATTCGGATTTTCAACACAAATGTTAAGTCAGTTAGTGCTTCCACACAGGTCAGAAACTTGGCGTGTCACGAAAAGGATTCCCAACAGTTTACTGCAGACTTTTATCAACAGCTACCTTCGCTGGTTCCATACTGAAGATCACATGGCCGGCCAGTCAGAAAGAATTAGCAACAAGAAACTCTGGCTGGGAACAAACCAACCAAGAGCCGATCGCTCAACAAATATGTATGAGAAAATGGAGATGGATCGAGCACACGTTGAGGAGGCCGTCAAATGGCATCGCACGCAGTGCAGGCCATCGCTCGAGTGTAATCCCAATGGGGAGCGACGAGTGTGTCGTCGGTGCGAGGGTGACATGGAGGAGATCGTGTGAGGAGATGAGAGATTATGGTCAATTGTGGACCCAGCTGAAGAGGACGGCAGAAAACATAACAAAGTGGAGATGTATTGTTGAAGCCCTATTTTCCATTCGAAACCCAAGGGAATAATAATAATACGAAAAAAAGGTTACCGGCATAAATGAGCCTTCTAAATCAAATATTAAATTTACTTTTAAGAAGAAGGAATAAAAGCGCCTTTTTTAGCAGGATACGCTGCTAGATTACTGGCGGAAATAACCAGACCAAATGAAGTGTGTTGCATCAAAATGTTTAAGAAATCCACTTCCAAAACATTAAAGATACTTATTAGCAAATTACAACCAAAATAACAAGAAAATTATCTTTACCGATAGGGATTTCCAATAAGAAAGAAAATCAACGAGTATCGAAAAGCAACTATGGAGAAGATACAAGGGAATCTAGTAACCATCGAACAAATCTACAAATATTGCAATGAAATAGAAAAGAGCTCACTTTAAAAATGATCAAAGGGTGGAAATCAGACCACAAGCAAAGTCAACAAAAAATAGATAAAAGAAAATTATAAGGTAAAAAGGAATTAAAGTATTTTTAAACAACCTGGAATCAAAAAAAGAATTAAACATTTAATAGTACATTGTTCAACTAATTACTGAGATATTGAACAATCATTAACATTATCGTAAGGTACAACAATAAGTAAGTGTAATTGTATTTCAAAAGATTTATGCTATCGAAATTTCCTATTTTATTCTGGTTAAACTTGTAAAAGGCTAAAATACTGTCGGTCAGAGTTCTTTTAGAAATGAATGCATTTAATTCTTATGTTCTGTATATTGTTTCGCAGAAGAAACGTAGTGATGAAGCAGCTCAAACGCTGGAATGAATGCAAAGATACTGCTTTAAAACGTTTTAAAAATTTGCTTTTCAAATGTATACTCCACATTTAGCATTATGGGACAGGAAAACTTCATTGCGAATAATTCTATCATGTAGATGGCAACATTATTTATTTAATTGAATTTTAGGTTTTCCCGTCGATTGATTGGACCGACGGTGTCTGGGCATGTAATTAGAGGTTAATTGGTGGATGGTAAGTGGCAGTGGAATCCAGGATGCGCATTTCGTCCTATTTGGGACTGGTCATCTAGATGTACCTGCATTCCGCAGTGAGTGATGAGAACATCATCACGAAATGCGCATCCTGGATTCCACTGCTAGTCACCATCTACCAATTAGACAACATATTATATTTATATATTTTACACGATGAGAATTAAGGGAAAAAATAGATTATAATAAGCAACTTACAATATTTCTCATTGATGCAGTTTCCATTGGAAAACGAGATGGATTAATCTTTTGACATTCTTGTCCTGGTCTGAAATAAAGTAGCATTAAAAACTATCATCAACAATACTGAACAAAGATGTATTTATCTAGGTAAGTGTATATAAATTAAGCTCCATGGCAGCGAACGATTTCAAAATGAATTTGTTTATTTTATAGGTGAAGTATTTGTGCAAGAACTAGTGATAAAGATATGAACTGGTTAGTTCACTTGGAACCACTATTATAGATGACATAGGGTATGAAACAAAACCGAATGTTAAATACCTTGGACTGCATATTTCCTCTGACCACCTTTCCAGGTCTTCCCACATCATGTTAGTTCGCAAAAATATATTTTGTCTAACTTTCTACGTAGAGGAAGTTAAGACAATCTAGTATCACTCAGTCTACTTTCTAAGTTTGCTAATTCTTGTAATCTATCTATCCTTTTTTTACTGCTCCTCCTTAATCTTTACTGAGCTATTAAAGAAAGAAGTTAATTGGTGGATGGTAACTAGAAGTGGAATCTAGAATGCACATTTCGTCCTATTTTGGACTCGTCATCTGGACGTACCTGTATTTCGCACTAAGTGATGATGTTCCCACCGAGGCTCGAATTCACTGCCCTTAGTTTCAAACGCCAAAGCGTTATCCACTAGATCACTTGGGCCATGAGACCCACCTTTTGTGCAACGGGTCACATTAATTATTTAATTGAATTTTAGATTTTCCCGTCGATTGACTGAACCGAAGTGCTTGGACTAATTACAAGCCCAAACATCGTCGAAGCATCGGCACAAGAAACCGATATGTCAACCTGAGACCGAGCACTTCGGTTCAATCAATCGATGGGAATTAAATATTTAAGAAAGACTTTGTTATGCTGAGAAGGGCATTATAGAAGACTGTATGCTCGGACGACTAAGTATAAAAACTCTACGATACCTTGTTTGGCACACATTTTAGTGATGAGAGAAGTGTGTAAGGCAGGACATTACCACCTTACTGTGGAACTCTAAGTAAACGGCCTTACTTTCTTTTGATTATTCTATTGTTGTTAATATTTTCACTTAATATAATTTTATATTCATATTCTTACTGAACAATTTATTATCAATATTATTATTATTGTTTCCTTTAATTCCTAGAGGAACATAGGGCTTCAGCTGTGCGTCTCCATTGCGTTCGGTTCTCTGCTAGAGTTTTCACCTGGCTCCATGTCTGCCCACACGTTTTCATCTCCTCTTCATATGACCTCCTCCAAGTCACCCTTGGACGACCAACTCGCCGCTTCCCTTTCGGTTTCCACTCAAGGGCTTGTCTAATGATGTCACTTGATGGTTTCCTCAGAGTATGGCCAATCCATCTCCATTTCTTCCTGCATATTTGTTGCACAATCGGTTCATGCTGGGTTGTTTTGCTCATCCAGAGATCCCTGTTGCTGATCTTTTCCGGTCATCTGATCTTGAGTAGTATTGAGCGAAGACAGCTGTTGATGAAGGTCTATAGTTTGTTCGAAGTGGCCTTCGTGACGCACTGGCTTAAGTCTCTGATCCGTATAGTAGCACTGACTTCACATTGTAGTTGAAAATCCGGATATTATTTTTCATGCTGAGTTGCTTTGGATCTCCACACAGACTTGAGAGTAGTGAAAGCTTGTCTTGCTTTTCCGATTCTTGCTTTGATATCCTCGTCAGTTCTGTCCGCCTGTAGTTGAAACGATGCTTCCCAATATAAATGCCCTGTTTTAATTATTACATTGTAATAAGAAAGTTAGCTGCAATACTGTACTACAACATGCTGAAAATTCCACATTTGTACGAAAAGTACCGTTTGGAATAAAGCTAAGATTATATTACCATTGAATCAAAAAGAAAATGCACATTCTCAAACAGTATTATCAAAACATTCTCATTATACTCCTAATTACCAGTGAAATTTTCATTGTTTTTCTGGGCAACTTTAAAATAAAATGAGCTGTTAGCATATTTTATGAATGAAATAATCACCTTTCTAGGCTACTATGGTTATCCAACTCATGGACCACACTAATAACAAAAACTTTTACTTAAGCTACAAATCTTGATTATTTTAAGGTCGGTGTGTATACTGTGTGTGCCAATGGTTTACCACTCAGACAAACCAACGATGCAGCACTAACGAATGGACACGGCACACACACACACGTGCACGACAGGCACAATCTAAAGGTTAATAAATTTAAACTTTCCAAAAGGTTTAACTCGTAATCCACCTAACACCCAACTAGGTAAATTTTTACACCTGAAATTAATACTAGGTAAAATGTCTTTTTGTTTATGTACAAAAAAAACAGAACGTACTGAGATAATAATTTCCATCGGGAAAAGAATGTTCCTTGATCCATTTCTGCAGGTTGAAGGAATTTGTTTAATGTGATTGGAAGCATAAGTGTATAGTGCTGTTTTGAGTCATCACATCTGAAGGAATTAGAAATGTTTTAAAATTACAATTAGAAAAATTAACTACAAATGAATGTTAATAACTTGTACATGTAAATCGACAGAAGTACTTATTTATACACCAGTGTACTGCCATTAAAACTGTCGAAGAAATAATTCGTCACTGATTTTTCTAAAACGGAAATTCGCTTATATAGCATTGAGTGATATGACAAATAACTGTGTGAAGATGTCTACACAAATACCGTTTGTATTCATATATCAAGTAAAATTTTGAATAGGCGTACAACAGTCAAATGTCATACTATATACATATAATAGCACAAAGGTAGAGAATACAAGAAGTATAACCGGTAGAAATGTACGAAGGGAAGAATAATTACACGGAGCTCGTTGAAATCAGCATTTTCGTGTCTATCACTTTGGATGAAACGCCACAAATCCACTAATTTTTGGCTTAACAACAACCCTTACCACTTTGTTAATGGTCACGTGGATATTACGCTAGAATTGCTCATGATACACGCTTAGCTACTCCTTCCTTTAATAGAGACTTTGTGTTCTTATCAAACTGGGTAGATACGTGCACAAATCATGGAGTGATCAGAGTCTATGTAGGTATTCCAGGAGGAGAGGTACTCCTCTACCGGTTGTATTCATCTATAGCTTATAGTTACACGATCTGTTTCAGTCTATCGTTGATTTGATGATGGAGGTCACCAGGTAAGGTAATATGTCTCATGTTTGAAGTTATTGCTGACCAAGAACAGATGATATATGTGTAAAACTTTGGCAGTGTGGTAGTAAGTAATTCCATATTAGTTTGTTTCTTAGCTGTATCACACAGTGAAACAGTATTATTGACTAGATGACGTTTCGAACAAAATTTATTGTTCATAATGATATCAATTGTAATCACACGACTTTGAGACCTGAGTTTTATAGTTTTCTTTGTTTTCTCCTATTTGTTGTCGTAGGCGTGGTAGCAGAATTTTCCAGGTATCTGGGACAGGTGATGAATCATTCCTATTACATCTATTTGCAGTTGATTCAATAAACAAAGCTTCTGTTATCAATCCTGTGACATTAGACTTTAAAACTATCATCCTATCCCATCCTATTGTGTGGTTGTGTGTGACTGCATGTAGTGCTATAGCTGAACTATTCTCTAGACTTCTTATCTTATTCGGGTCAACCAATCTACATTTTGCTAAGGTTTTATGTTCAGCTAGTCTGACTCCCCCTGTTCTACTTGTTTGACCTATTTATCTGACTTGACAATCATTGCAGGGTATTAGATAAACTAAATAGTTTTTTTTTAAAGGCTCCACAGGATCCTTTAACGGACAAAGCTTGTTTCTAATTGAGTTTGTGGGTTTGAATGCTACTTTTATTCCTACCTTGTTAAGAATTCTGCGTAAGGTTTCCAAGGTTCCTTCCTTGTATGGAATTACTACTGATGATTTAGATTCCTTATTGCTGGTGTTGTCATTATCCTGCACATGTTTGATATGCATGTCGTCATTAATATTATTGTTTTCACTACTATTATTATTATTAATTTTATCTTTACGTTTTCCTAAATACTTCCTGATTATTTCATCAGAGTGATTATTAAGTTTCAAAGCTTCTCTTATATGCCTCACTTCCTGTCTTAGATTTTCCTTGGTATTACTTAGTTTCTGTGCTCTGACACTTAAGCATTTCACCAATCCTATTTTTACTGACATAGGATGGGATGATTGGAAGTCCAAATATCTGTTTGAATGTGTGGGTTTCCTGTTAACACTAGTGTTTAACTTCCTATCTTCTTTCCTTTTTACGCTGCAATCTAACATTGGAAGCTCCCTTTCCTGACTTTCCAATTCATAATTGAATTGAATCGCCTCCACCTTTGAGTTAATGTGTTCGAAAAATCTATCTATATCCTGTGTTCTAAGTACAGTGAATGTGTCATCTACATACCTCCACCATACTTTTGGGGTGGGTCGGGTGAACGTTTCAGTTGCTATGTTTTCCCATCTATCCATGAATATATATGCCACAACCGGGGATATTGGTGATCCCATGGCAACTCCCTCAGTTTGTTTGTATATTTTCCCTTGGAGTTTAAATACTGTGGAAGTCAGGCATAGCTGCACTCCCAGCATTATGTCCTCAAGTGGCACTTTCGTCCTAAGTTCGAGTTCTTGGTCAGAAATGAGTTCGTTTCTGACTGCCTCTATAGCCATATTTATTGGTATACGTGTATATAAACTGACAATGTCAAAACTAACCATTTTCTCTTCATTATCTAATTTTAAATTATCTAATCTATGTTTTAGTTCACAAGAATTTGTTAGTCTAGATTTCGAGTGGCTTTTAAGAACAGATGATTATCTAAACAGAATTGTCTAAGACGATCCCCGTTGTTGGTTAGTCCAACTACCAATGTAATTTTCTAACTGGCACAGCTTCCCATTAAGTAGCAGCTGTGAAAATAGTAGTTACGAAAATTATCCTGAAGACTCGATATTGCGACTTACTAGGTAAGATAAAGTTTTAGCGTGTTTTAGTTTTGGTAGTTATGAAAATTTTAAGACTACTGGGATACAGTAGTATGGTAATTAATCCTTCCCCCTCCCTACACACGTGTCCTGTTCGTATTACTATACTAGTATACATGAGTGCAGCTTAAGGAGTGAGCGTTTGGGTCAAACTACAACTTTTGCACCACCATCATTCAATGTAACCGGTGAATATCTGTCCTAACACGTACACTGGTGAACCTCATACATAGCAACTCCTCATTACAACTTCATAATAAAAATGCTTGTTCAAGGCTTTTAGGTTTTGAGATAATTCCTCTCAGTTGATTTTAACTTATGATAAAATCAACTCATGCATGCATCTTTATAGATTTAACACCTTAATAAGGATTATTGTTTGATAATTAAGAAAATAAATCCAAATTATCTGTTACTGGTAACCAACTATAGGGTGATTTTTTTCACTTTACAAAACTGATAATGACAACCAATAACAACGGATAATATTTATGCGTCAAAGTGATAATGAAACCCACTTACAAGAATGAAACATCTAGTTTTACTACTTCTGTGAAAGGACGTAAACACTCAACATTCAATGCTTGTTGAACTTGTGTTCCTGCTTCCAATCGATCAGGTCCAGGTTGAAGTTCAATTGATATAGCCTTAACCACTTCGTTCACATCCATAGCATCTGGACAGGTTACTTGAGTACAGAATACAGTGAAATGATGTGGAGACTTATTCCCGTAATATACACCCAAACGACAATACTGTCCACGAGATTCCATACGAATACCGATACGAATAAGAGAATTCTCGTATAAAATGGCATTATGTCGACTAAGAAAGCTGAAAAAGGAAGAAGACTAATACTTGGTATTCTACAAAAACTATAAAGGCTATCCTTACAGTGTATTTTACAGGTAAACATAAATGAACAATATTACACACATCTTTATAATCAATAGACATTACCTTAGTCGTGTTATAAACCAATAATTATGATAATTTGACTGACACGTATCAACTTTTATAAGCAGTCATATGAAGAAGTACATAAAATCGACATAGTTATAGAAGAAACATGATCAAATTTTACCTAACATATTTATATACACTAAAGCACAATTGATGAAATCAGGATTAACACAGATAGATATAGTTCAGTTCAGTTCACAACTATGCAGTTTTACAAATTAACCGCAGCTATTAAAACAGGGAGACGGGGAAAAATTTAGAGGTATTTATGTTTTTCTTTAAATTCTTAAAAACCTGCGGTCACCATATTCCCTAGCATATAATACTTGTGCATTACTCAATTTGTTGAATCTAAGTTTTATGGTTACCAGTACATGTTAAGAAGGATGAGACTGACCTTAACATTAAGCTATATATGTTAATTAAAGTGTCTATAACTTTGTATTTCATTGTTATTTCCCAACAAACTTAAACATCATATGACCCAAGCATCTGTTATTAAGTCACCAATGTTTGTATAGTGACTGACTACAACGACAGAGTTCGTTGCAACCAAAATGTTCAGAATAGTTAGAGATGTGATTATACTATTGTGTTGTGTGCTGGGAAATGAAGGGAAACTTATTTTGTCCAATCAATGTGACCGTAATACAGCTCACTAGATAACATTAGGAAAATGTGCACCCTAATTAGTCAAGGCAATAAAACCAATTTAGTCAAAGTGCATAAAAATCATGAAAGCGCTGTGAAAAAGCAGTCCACACGTTAATTGGTTAGACGCATAGTAAGCAACCGCTACATCTAACGAAACATAATTGAAAACTGTTAAACTGATGAAATTCGCAAAGTGAACTGTTCACTGACAAGAAGTCACTAAGTATTACGGGATTTTCACTTTAGCACAACTTACTGCACGATCTTTGACAGGCAATATTCATACTTCGTGTATAGTATAAAATCACAAGCAGTTCCTTAGTACTTTTAGTTATAACTCAGTTTATTGCTGAAAGATATTTATAATTTGAGTGGAGCTAGTGCTTTCCATCGCTAAACCGCACTTCATCAAACAGCACTACATTGTATCACCCCTGTGTGTCAACAAACCCCTACTCATTACACTAAAAAATCAAAAGTTGTATTTGCAACAAAATGATTTCAGAAGCATTTGACAAACCACTACAAAATATAATTGATCAAAGTAGTATAACAAACTAACACATTAGAGCACTTCTAATAGTACAGAAAGCAAATCAATAAACATACTTTACGAATTCTTTATGATTCATATACTGATCGTCACCAGCATGCAGTAAGTTGTTAATATCTGTGGTCGCCACACCATTACCCATTATATCAACTAATAGGTTAGATGCGTTAGATTTTGCACGAACTTCGCTGTTAGCAGTACCAAGGTTGCCGAAATTCAATAAATCCGCTTCTCCACCAGTATCAGTAGCATTTATATGGTTACTGTCATTGTTGATCTGGAAATAAGTACAGAAAAAAAACATTGATTCCGAAATAGTTAATTAGATTTGACATAAACTGAGAAATATTGTAAATATATTGGTCTGACTGACTTAGCAGAACGCTATCGCCGAGAAAAAAGATAGCTAGCGATGGGTTAAATAATCTCACGCTTGCCGTAAATCTACACCACTGAGGCACATCTGAGCATTCATAAAATGTTGTGTTACCAATATCTCTCTCACTATTTTTTCCTAAGTATATATTCATTCACTTTCGCTAATAATAATAATAATAATAATACCCTCAATTTCCTAATTTGCAATAACCATTCTCCAGTCTACAGAATAGTAAATCTATTAAGAGTTTAAAACAGCCGTCAAATACTCCTCAATTCTCCGTGGTCCTATAGCTTATATTATTTTAAAGAAAAACTACTAGGAGATCAAGCAGCTCCCAACAGACTCCCAAAATCAGTATTATTCTAGCTTTTTAAGAATAACTGATGGTATTCTTCTCCTTATTTAGTTCAATACGTGAGAAATGAGCATGTGGAATGTGAAAAAGTGATGACCGCAGCTATACTACACAGAATCACATATAATTTACTTTTGATAAACCAGTTACCAGAATGAATGATTTAAGTGTGAATAGGAAAATGTGTCAGGGATAATTCTCTAGGGAAATTAATATGCGAAATACTAAGCAGTAGTGGTGTCAAAACAGGCGGCAACCAGAGGGATAGTGAATGCATTGGAATAATCATTAATTTTTGCATCATCCAGACTTTGCGAATTACACAAACAATAGTCGATAATCAAGTGAGAAATATGATTCATCTAGTCAGTATACAACAGTGAACAGAATTATCAGATTTGTGTGAATTAAACACAAATAAATTACACTAATGTACACACACTATCTAGTCATAAATACTACACTGAACAACAAAAAAAAAAGAATTTTAGTCATAAATGAGTAATAAACTGTCTGAATGATTTCAATGGCTTAGTTTTATCGACATTCGTATGTATATATGTATTAGAATATGGTAAAATAAATACAAACAATAAAACTGAATAAAATTATTTAAAATTAGCGATGAGGATTGACAAAATTACACTACTTTTGAATTCATCAACCAATATGTAGTAAATAATTACGAATGTTTGCGCAGGACATGTTTTTCGTATCAACAAGGGTTGCATGGACAGGGGAAAGTTTTGAAAATCTGGACACTAGGTCAATATTTATCCAGTCCTAAAATTATTTGTGATCCTGCAATCCCTGTAACCAACAGTAGGAACACTGTCCATCCTTATTAGTGTTACATTTTGAAAGGTTTAAATGGGGAATGTGAAGCAGTTGAAAAGGTTGGTCAGCATATATTATGCATGACTCATGGAATTATGTAGTTAAAAGATATGCAAATTTGAATACAAAATACAAATATATTAACTTACTGAAAATATGCATGAATTTAGTGAGAGAATGTAAACTGTTAGGTCAGATACTAGAAAATACTGGTCATATTTTGACTTTTGAACTACGTATATAGCCTTTTTATTTCAATGAAGACAGAATATCTTACGTTGTCTCAGTTAGGAGTTCCGCACTCTCAGCGCCTTATTTGTGACAAGAAATAAGTCTTCAATAGCATCGATTTCATAGTTACTCTAGATCAATAAGTGAGCCTGTGTGACTGCTACTAATCCGGCATAATAGATAGTTTTGAACAATATCAAAAACATTCATTCCAGAGATAACATAAAATTATTTGTACAGTCGCCATTCCACAATCTCCAAATACCATGCGGCAATCTCAAATCCATTGCAAATGAACTACGAATGCAGTAGTTTGACTGCAAGACAAGTAAAGAGAAAATACTTACATTTCTCTGGATTACTACTCGTCAGACTGCCAAAAGCCTTCTATTTCCCTTTCTGTTGGGTTGGAAAACTATCAGAGATGCGTTGTATGAGAAAATAAATATCCAGACCATGAACGCTTCAAATTTCCTGGAATAGTTTGAGCACCCCCAGTGTTTTGAGGTTTTGTGTCACTTGAGATTCGAACCACGTTGTTCGCCTACATCCAGACTATGAAACATATAAGAGAAACTACAACATGATCGATATTACATGCGGCAGACAGGTCGCACGAAATTCAACCGCTTAATTACACATCAGATAAGAATTAACGTACTATATAACACATTATATAATACTACGCAATACCATTAGACAACACTTTCTCCAAAGCCTATCAAAAATAAAGTGGACATCATCAGAGCTACTAGTGAAATACCGTCTGAAATAGACAAATGCGCTAATAGACATGATTTGTATTACGTATCTGACCAGAAATCAATACAAAGGTTCTCTCAGGCAACAAACGTACTCTGTTTGCAAGATATTTATCACTTAAAAACTGATAAATTGAAACTGTTATTCAAACTGAAACTATGATACACAGTGAGAGAAATTTTATATGAAAAGCATATGAAATTGTTGGTAGTAAATTAATAATGATAACGAAAGGAAGAGAACTCACTTTAGCTGCATTCTGGGTGTGACCTTCTCCGTGAGCCTCAGATTTAGATACATTTCCATCACCTGTAGGATTTCTAGCTTTAAGTTTAGCCAGAATACTCGACTGCCGTTCAGGAAATGGTGGCATTTCCTCCAATACGGTAGCCTGAGATGAAAGACGAATACAACATCAGTATACTATAAGAAACGACTGAGAAGTGAACACAAATTCAATAATTACCAGTAACTTAAATATATTATTACTTCTTAATTGATGCGTCGGCGGCATAGCGGTTAGGACGCTCGCCGACCATGCACATGGTCTGGGGTTCGATCCCTGGTCAACGCACTCCTTTACTTCACTAAGCCAGAAATAATGCTGGTGAAGAGGAAAGGTTGGGCATGAGGCTAGCAACCTCATCCTGTAAAAATAAACACTGCTACAGAAACTTTAAGCCACTAGCTTGAAGCCCTATGTTCCACTGGGGAATGCGAAGGAAAAATTATTTATTATTATTCTTAATTGATGCTTAAGATGCAGATGAGGTAACTGAACACAGTTACCACTAATACTGAATTCAAAAATTATGCATTAAATCAAGAGATATATCTGTTGCTTATGCTAAATGTGATACCAGGAGTAACTAACATCCAGTTTGAACCGGTGACAGATCGAGTGAAAGTCGAATGCTTAAACCAGTTTCCCGAACAGATCATGTTATCAAGATTAAACCTGATGTGCATAGTTTTATTTTATTTTATTAAGATGACATACATCAGATGGAAACAAAATAAACGACAATCCGATAAAATTTATTACTTTTACGGGCACAGTTGTCTTATAACAACCTCTTTTCTTGCAAACCAGGCCAATATTTATCTTCTGTTCATATTCTATTTATATATAGGGGTTTCAGACCAGTAGCGAATTCAAATAAAACTATTTCCAACTAACACATCATAATCACTATCATATACAAAAATAATACAATAATTGATTTACCCAATACAAATGTTTCAGGTATTTTGGCTATGAATTACACTCATGAAACATCCAACTCCCTAAGCCTAAATAAATTGATTACAGTTTCAAGTTACGAGTGACTGTCTCAAAGTCAAGAGAATAAGTGGATGACCCACATCTCAAGGCTGTCCAACAAATCTAGGAAATAATAACTCTTCGTCTACAAAATTTATGACGGCAATGATTATTATAATTACTGTTAGCAGCATCAAATACATTAGCATCGTACAATATTTACGAACTGGTGTTAGCTAAAATTAATTCTCCCACTTTTAAAGAGAGCATGGAAACGAACAAAATGACTCAGTGATAAACAATAAGATACATCTGTCATTGCACACAGTCAAAGAGAATAAGCTAATAAAAGCTTAACTTTTATTCTCATGCAAAGTAGAATGTTTTCAGAAAGAATATATATAAATATATCATATACAACATTACTTAGACGTTAATAATGAGTAACATTTGTGATTAATGGCGTCGAGTGCTAGGTAAGGAGGGGAGATCAATCAACGAGACTGTGAAGTTACCTCGACTGAGATGGTTAGGACATGTGTTACGCATACCTAACCATCAACTTCCTCGACAATGAGAATTCTTAGTTGACATAGAATGGGTCAGGTTGGAAAAGAGCCAGTGGTGGTCAAACCAAATCATGGCCTCATCAGTCGATGAAATCCACAAGTTATTTTAAGCCAGCCAGCCACGTAGAAAGGTGTAGACCTCCTGACTGGTTGGGGTCCTCGGGATGGTAAAAACCAATGGAGGCTGGAGACAATTGGTGAAATGGCTCAAAGTGATCGTTCTCAATGACTACTGCAGATGCATCCATTCCTGTGACTTATAATACCCAATGAAACTATATTGTTCTTCGTTAATACTACTCCTTTTGTCTCACATCCCTGTTTACTGTCTCCATTTTGCATTTCTTCTACTTTCTTCTCTTTCTTTGTGTGCTGCAAGGAGGGAGTGTGGCGACTTGAACTGCTGTACATCGGTACAAGGTTCTATGTTGAAAACAGTCAGTCAGTCAACGGCACATCTTGTCACATAATTTGCACAAACACCCTAAAATCAGTTTATATATATATATAATCTGAATTGTTGAAATAAGACACTAAAAAGCATATTTTATGGGTTTACCCAAATATAAATATGTGTATCTTCCCTTTGTAATTCTTACAGCAATACTTTTGAGTACTTGATCAGCCAAAAACAATCACTTTCAGCAAATAAAACTAACACACGATTTGAAATGAAATCATTATAACTGAGTACAAAAATATGTTAAAGATAATCAAAACAAAACGAAGAATTCATATGACCATACATTTTTGACAAACGCGTACGATAGATGTCAATTAGTGTAACTATGTAATTGTAGCTTACATCACAATTAATTATTCTACCTACAAATTCATTTAATTTTCTACTAACGGTAACAACTATAAATGAAGAGCACATTATTACAATAAATATAGTCTACGTTAACAATAATTATTGCAGAAAAAGTTTCGACTTATATATAAAAGAAAAGACCTACCAATACATCATCAGTAGCTATCCGTGATAATGCCAAGTATTCCGTAGCCCGTTGTTGTATTTCTACATTGGAACTACGCAAATTACTATCATTTTGTAGTACAGACTGTATATCAGATTTGATTTCAGGGAACAAATTGATAAATTTCATATAAGTGGATAACAATAGTTGACGTGTAGTTGGAGTACAAAGATGAAATTTACTGTGCAATAAATTGAATTGCACTTTGGGTCTAATTCACAAAAGTCAATGAGATGTGCAGGCGATTCAAAAGAAAAACAACATAAAATAAGTAGAAAGTTAGAACAATGTTTCAGATAACAATAACATGAAATCTAAACTAATACATACATTCAGAATAGAACATAATATAGTTGCAATTCACGTTTTCTCTCTTCTGTTAAGATTGTCTTTAGGTTTTAAAACATTATCAAAATGACAATACTTTCTTCGAAAAAAATAATCCACGAGACACTGCATTGAGTCATATCCATAGGGCAAATACAGTTTGAAAAGGTAGTTATCAGACACCGATGCTCTACAGTATATGGGTTTTATGTCCTATAATCTCTATGCAAAAGTTCAGCAAAAAGTAACATAAATATAAGACAAAAATGTGAATACACTTGTTATTATCCCAGCCGAGTGCTGATGGTAAATCTACGAAGAATTTCTGTTACACTTAATGGTTAAGAAAAATACACAACACAGCAATAACGACTGATTTCCTATGTAAAATGAACCACAACTACGAAACTAGCCTTTGAACGTAAGGAGAAGCCTTATTACACAAATATATATCTTTTCACACACATGAAATTAGGCTACTTCAGTGGTGTAGTCAATTAATTCGACGACGATTATCCAATAAAATCATTATTTTCACGTAAAAACACAAATATACATTCCAAACAAAATCCTCAGCCTCTACAGCCAGTGGCTTAAAATACTGACTCCGATTTAGACGCTTACTATCATGTTCAGTAAAAATAATAATAATTATAATAAGTAAAATAAGAGACTAAAAGTCAATAATAATGTGCGCATTCATGTAGTTGGTGTTGAGTTTAACCTGTTGCATGAAAAGTGGTACAAAGGAGAGCCGAAAGATAATTTTCTAAACTAATTAGACACTGGCACATAGAGGTAAAATCTACAGAAGACAGACTATTTTCACAAAAACATATACGTAAGGTGTAGAGATGAACCGGTTATACATAATAACCAATAAGGAACTCATTAAAATCTCTCAATCACTATTAACGAATGTACCGTGATTCATTCCAGTAAGGTAACTGGAAACCGCAGACACTAAGTTTTACGCATAAATGAACTTATTAAAAGTATTCAAGAGTTAGTTTGTTGGGATTTGACTCGTTTCAAGTTTGATCACTGGTTGATATCACCTAGAGAACCACGGAAAACCAAGGAGTATTTTTTTCGAAAAATGAAAGATACAAAATAATTCAATTTAGGACTTACGCTGATCTTGGGTCACCAGCAATAAGATTACCAAATTCACCCAAAATATAACCTCCCACTTTCACCATATTTTCATGACAAGCAGGAGCTTGTAGAGCCTGCAAGACAGAAAAATTAACAAATATAAACAAAACCACGCCAGTCACTATTGTAGTTATTCATTAAAAATACCGAAGTCGTAAACACAGGAATTTAGGAAATGCTGACGGTATGGAAGGGGAAGAAACTAAAAGTAAACAACACAGTTTTCTTTGTTTCATTGTCTTATTGCTGGTGCAAAATAAAAAATATGGGAGAATCCCTAACTGTTTTAAATCTACGTTGAGTATCTTTTGACCCACTGAATTTTATGATCTCAAGAACCCCAACTTATAGCTAACCGACAAAAAAACAACTGGGGCTATCTTAATAAAATCTTACCCTAACTGATTTTTAGTGACCTTTACGGACGATGAATCAGTTTTGATTGACATTTGAGTGCAACAATATAACAAATGCAATCAATATATTTTGTGGGCATAAAAAATCGTGTACTTGTCTAATTGAAAAACTTAGGTATCAATACAACAACATCGGTTTACACCAACAAGCTTCTAGCACTGTTACGCATCATTAGTCTACCCCAAAAAGTGAAGTATAAAGCAGAATTTAGGCATGAAATTCATTTGCATATAATTTGACATTCACCTAACACTTACCTCAAATACTGTTTTCGCTGCATATCCTTGAACATCTTCACGATTTATAACAATCTGGATAACGCGATGCCAAACCTCATCACTCACATAGTCGCCAGCAACTCTTATTAAATTCAATATAGTATCCACATACCACGAATAATCAGTAGCATATTTCTCAGCTAATATAGCAACTTTAAGTACCATTTCCTCGCGGATTGCATAGTCTGCCACTTCCAAGTAACTGAGCATCTCACCTACAATAGCCTGTGCGTTCGTTCTATCACACATAGCGTACAAAAGATCAACAGCTCTTTGACGAACTGAAACATCTCGTTCACTCTAAACAATTAAAAGCAAAAGTGGTTAAGCGGCAACTGATCAACCAGCAAGAAATTAATCGAACACTTCGAACAAATTATAAATATCAAACTTATTAAAAGAGAACTTCCCAAATCAACACCTCTCATAAGTAAAAGGAAGCAACTGTGTTGAAACAATCATGCATAACAATCAGCATACGCTGTAAGCAGAAAAATAAGTTTTGGTTCATGTTACATTCTTAGGTTTAAGGAAAATAAGGTGTTATATGAAAACATGTAATTAAATCTCTTGGTATTTGCATGCAAAACGTGTTCAATGAAATGAATGGTTAAAAGAAAAGGAATGGTGTGAGTGAAGTTTTTTTTTTCCTTTTCATTGTCAATAGCTTTAATGGGTAGGTTATTAAACTGTAACGATATTCATGACATATAATTGAGCCGTATAATAGTCACTTTTTGGTTCTGTTTTAGAAACTAATTAGCCCTTGTTTCCTCAACTAAGCAGTGGAACTAATATAAAGTAACTAGTATGAAAGATTGCAAGATGAATAAACCACTTTCTACAATCCTACTGATTAGTTAAACGAGTTTGAACTTTTTTGTGGTTATATACGTACAAAATCTGCTGTATGCAAAAGTAAACTAAACAGAATATCAATGTTGTTTGTTTATTTACTAATTTATGACAGCAAGAGAATACTTGTTGTTAAAAATGGATAATTTCTAAATGCAATATCAAATTAGCCTATATGCGCTGCTAACGCATATTTCATTTTTCCATTGTATGCCTCTTGACTATATGCGCAAAACTATAAAATAAAAAGCATACAAAACTTACTTTCAGAGCGTTAACTATTGTTTCTTGGTGTTTTTTAACCGCTTCGTGACTGAATTCACTCGTAGCTAACAAGCACAAAGACTCCAGAGCCAGGTAACGTAGATTTGTCTCCTTATGTTGCAAGAACTGTCCTAATTGATTACAAGCGCGAACAAGTAATTTTGGATCACTATCCATGTGGATAATCAGATTAATTGCTTCAAACAGAACAGCATTTTTAGCATTAGGATGTTGTACTTTCTTTGACTTTGGAGCTTCTTGAACTTTCTTCAAAATTGTATCTAGGCACTCTGCTAGCCTAGCACGGACAGTATTGTCTTCTATAAAACAAAATATATTTGGAAGTTCTTATGCATTTACGGTGAAGTAGCAGAGTACCAGATGAGGGAAAAAGAATAAGACTCTGTATCATACCTGGAGGAGGATAGTTCTGTAGCAAGCGTAGTAATTTTACCGATAGCCAAGGAGCCGTAACAAAATAATACGTATAGTCCTGTAGATCGGTATATGAAGACGTGATCAACTAAAACAAATAGTGAAAAAGAAACAGCATTACTTGCCACATATTTCACAAAAGGGGACGGTAAGCGAAAATAAAGATATAGAATTTTTTCTGTCAAATATATTTACACGACATAGGTTTGTAATGTTATGCCAGAATGGAAATGATTACAAGTAATTTCGAAGGCCTACGTTCAAGTGACAATTCGTACACAATTAAAGTGGTGTTAAAAATGAAATGCTGTACATACTTGGTGACGATTTAAAATCGAATACCATGACAGTGTAATTGCCCCCTATCATCTGAGAAATTATAAACTCTACAGATTTTCGACGAATTACTGTCGCTCCTATCACACAAGTATTTTCCCACTGTAAAGTTAGTCTGTTTCCATTCTCTACTTCTAATGTACTGATTTAAACATGCAGTACCTCACACTTGTGTAGTTCGGAAGAAGGTTTAGCAGTAGTCTCTGTCAAATAATAAACTGTTAGCTGTAAAAATACGATTCACATAAGTAACAAAGAATCAATCAAATCTGATTAGTATGCAATCTGAGGAAGCTAACTAGACGACACTTGTACTGAACAATACTATGAGTTCTAAAAAAAACAAGTAAATAAGTAAAACAAAAACATTTATAGAGGTCAAAGTCGTTATATAATTATCAACCAAAATACAACAGTCTTACCCTGCTAAGCCGTGAAACAGCGAGTGATACACATCCTTTGTGTTCTTCGGGGCTCCTTTTTACCAAAGCATCGATTAGACTAACAGCTGATGTAACAACCCCCTATTTAAAGTAAATTGATATACCATCTTGAAATATTTGAACTAAATTAACGAAACTTGAACACAAATAATTACGACAATAGAAGACGAAAAAAGTATCTCAAGAAAGTGCTAGTGCAAAGCTGTACAGTTATCTAAACCTGAGTAGTTCAACATACAAGCTTGACTATGCAACTAATCTACAGTTATTAATCCCTATCGAAGAAAAGATATCATGATTACAGGTTAGTGATCATAGATATCTTTATCCGTTCGCTTCCTCTGGGTGAAGAAACATTGTGGTACTGAGATTCTGTAGTGTTAAATCAGGAAGGTTTTGAAGCTCCAACGGTTGAAGTGGCCAAAATATCTACTGAGTATACTAAATTAATACCTTCCTTGATAAGAATTGTTAGCTAAAGTAGGGTAACGTTGGAAGGGAGCAATGAAAAACTAGGCCGAATTGTGATGTCAACAAATGAAGTTATTGTCTGTTTGCATGAACAACGTTGAGAAGCGTAATCTGTTTGACTGTACTCCACGAAGCCCTACAAATCGGTGGCTGGTGAAATTCTGTAAAAGAGCTCAAGTGTAAAGAACACAATTTCTTTACACTGACGCCATCAGGGTGTCACTTGAACGAAAACTAAAACATGAAGTAATACCCAACAACCACTAAGATTTGTATGCAGTAGAGTACGTCACATTTATTGTGACAACTAAAGATACTACATTGCTGCCAAAACCCTGGTGGGTGCAGCGGGGTTCAGTTCAAATCCACGACCAAGTGACTGAAAGAGATAAGTTTAGAAAGTCAGTTATGCTGGGAATAAAGGAAATGGTTAGTGAGAAACAAAGGTTTGCAAGAGTAAAAAGAAGAGAAATGCAACTTTGAAGTAGATGCCAAATACTAGACACACTGACTGTGATTAGAACCATAATTCAAAACCCATAAATGCAGGTGGAGTACGACACGTAACTACTGGAAATAGCATTCATAAACAGCAAGCTTTTCAGTTGGTAGGTCACAAAGGAGTTTATGTTCAGTAAAATGCGATAACATATGCTTATCTACTATTGTCTGTTAGAGAGTAACGACAGACTTTCAATTTATCTTCAATATTTTTTAGTACTCTCTTTTCTCGGTATAACTTTTTTCTGATTCTGTACAGGTGTGAGGTGGACACAATAACGCTAAATTCTACCTGAGTGGAGACTAATTCCGACTAAATTTCCGGATAATTTCACAAGATCTGAAATAGATTAGAAACTTGAAAAATTTCACACATTCGTTGATTTATGAAGGTAAGAAAAAAAACCAATATTGAAATAAACACACGTAGTTCAGTACAGAAAGATGTTTGATTGATGAACTTCATCTGCCTAGTGGGGTTTCTCCTCTGACAAAAAACTTTTGAACTTAAGAAAAAATGTAATGAGAAAATACTGGAAAAATTATAACGTAATTTAACAAACTCGTCTTACGAAAATCAAAGTACAATCAAAAGGCACACAAATATAGTATTCAATCAACCTACACTGCAGTCGTTATATTCAATAAATAGCCATTTGTAACTAGTCCTATGACAAATTAATACGTACTATTGGGACTAAATATCTGAAACGAGTACAATACAAATCCTAGAGACAAAATGTTGCAAATACTCCCAGGATTTCCCTATGTAAAACAACCACTTTCAAAAGCAATAAATATTGGTATTTACCGAGACACCAAAAAGTAGCATACTTACCAAGTGTTGATCATTAAGAAGATGCATAGCTCTAACAGTCCAGTCATCATACGTGACAAGTTCCGGTGCAACTCTAATCAACTTCAGTAAACACAGCGCAGCATTCTGTTTAATGGAATCAATCGTATCGCTACAAGTAATAGACAGAAACTATTGACATACCCAGACACAAGTAATTTGGGGATTTTATCAGCAAAGTTTTCGGCCATCTCTCGACTCCCAATATTTGCGATGCACTGTAATGCAAGGTTCATGAATACAGGATTGCGACTATTTAAGTCATCCTTCAGTCGTGATATAACGAGGTTCATAAGAGGGTGGGACTCATTAATAAGCACAGATATAAATAAATATCCCTATGAGTAGAATAATGAGTAAATAATCTTACTATTTGTTTTTCAGTGTACCTATTGGAACATAACAAATTAACAGCTTCGGTGTGACCAAAATCAATATCATGACCGAGAAGAAATATGAAAAGTAATTTGCAAACATATTTCTTCTTCTGATAACCGTCCAGGGTTTTATCACCTGCAAAGTGTAACAAAATTTCGTCTTATTACCTCTGAATTTCGATCTTATATTAGCCAACTCTTTGTTAATGCGTCGGATTTCACTTTCCTTGCTTTTGCAGTTTCGGATGTCCGAAATAAAGACTGCTAAGCCCCTCATCGCATCACCCTTAGTGCTCGGCATTTTTCGGCGAAAATTACGCAGTCAACTATGCCGCCAAGAGATGCTATCCAAATGTCCCGTCATATATATGAGTAAACAAAAACAGCCTTATTATCCAAGATATTTCCGGAAGAAAGACAGGAAATAGATTACTACTTCTTTATTATTCCTCACAGAAATCGAAATTTTTCTGTTCGTTGTTCAGTTAATTAAATTCACTAATTTTGAATGTTGTAAAAGATTCACTTTTTTCTGCTTATAGTGATCTACTCTTGCTTACGGTGAATCAGTAAAAGGAAGTGAAATTATGTCCTCCGATGGATTACTGCACGAAGCGGCAATTAGTTTCAATAAATGAGTATTTGGATGTAAACGGTTCCACTGTATTTATCTCGCTTTATTCGTTATACCTTCGTATATTGGTAGGTTTGCAATCAAATCTTAACATAACACTAGGAATACTACCGTACAGTCGTGTTTCACCGGTACAACCCCCCATTTGTAGGATGAACTGAAAAGTCGTTTGAGTAATTCAGTTCTCTGAACTGATTCCGGTTTGAAGACGGCTTGCTGCTCCACTATACATTTCATATAGAGCTCTACGTACATAACATTAGGCATGAACTACATGTCAGATAATATTCTCAAGTATTTGAGGAGCTAATGGATGCCCTATTAAAAAGATCCTTCAGAAAATCAAAAACACTATATGCGCTAATTTTTCCTCAGCCTTGACTGTATGGCTTACTATGGCTGTGAATTTTGTATTCCCTGGTATTGTGTTACAGCAGAGAAACCAGTGATAATTGCGATGTGACTGGTACTTGGGAAATGCTGTTCCTTGGTAGGCAGCTAATATTCTGCAGTGTGCTACTGGGAAAATCACAAATGACCCTTTCTAGAAATTCAACTAGAATGGTAGTTCAGCTCCTGAGGGAATTCCAAGGCTTGTCTTTGACGACCTGTCAGTTGCACGTAAGTTCAATTGGTATCTAGTTCTTAATGGTCCTTATGCCCACCAGAATCGAGCTTCAACAGCAATTTCAAGGTGGACTTCATTTCCATGTGCTCAGGTCTGTGAAACAGTGAGGTGAGAATACTTTGTAATCATTCAGTATACAGGGGCTTCACAGTCTGCCCCTTAGGCATAGCTGGAAGAAAGATAACTGTATCAAAATCAACGCCAGTGTTCTCATCACAAATAGATTCTGTGTCTAACTTGAGGCCGGACCTTATTTTCTAGGTTTGGGAGTGGCAGGATTAAAGTTCTATCTTAGTTACTTCACACAGTGCCCGTTGATTACGCGATAACAGTTGTAGTTGTTCATTACCGAAAGACATTACTTATCACCCTGTTGTCGAGTAAAGTGAACAGACAATATATAATTGGGTCTTTCCTCTCACTGACAGAGTGAAAACTAATTAAGATGCGTCACTGCCCAATTATATCTCGACATAAAAACGCACATAATTGACCACTGGAACACTACTCCAACAAAGGATGTATACTGAAAAAGCCTGATTCAAATGGAAGGAAACTCTGATTTTCCCGACCACCACATAACAAAAAACTCGCAAGCTTGACGCAGAAAAGTGAAGTTCTAACTAGCTGGCGTTCACCAATAAAATTTGGATGACAAACTTTGATCTAGGCCAAAACCAGCTGTTTACTGCAAAGCCTACTGAGTAAACATTAGCTCATGATGTGTACTCTCTTATATATTGACTTTACGGTCAAAAATCAGTCATTCTTAAACTCATTGAGATCGATTCTACGTACAGTACTACATGAACTCAAAAAAATATAAATTCTGCAACGCAACTGCCGAATCATAGCAAGAGTCTTATCGCAAATAACATCGTTGGTATTCCATGAAATTGGTCCTACCATAACTTATAATAATATATACCTTTCATATAAACGGGTAAGTTTACATGAAATGCATGTCATTTTTACAGGCACGATCAATTATGCTACGAATTACAATTGTGAAATAGCAAACATCATCACTATTTTAAAAGAAGTTCAAATTGTTAAATTACAGTACAAGCAATCGGAACAGATTCTTATAAATGTTAATTCGTAAATCTTTCACGAAGGTCTCCATCGAAGTTGAGCGACAACCCATACTTCGTTCCATTTCCTGATGATAGTTATGGCCAATCGATAAACAACATATATTTCGGTGAGTGCTGTGCCTCCACGTGTTTGAACGCTATTTCTGGAAGTGAAGAACATCTGGCGCAGCTGCAAAATGGTATAGAATGCAATTATGAATATTTACAAGAAAATACAAGAAGAAGCTATGTAGTATTTGATATGATAATACACATTTGCAATGTATGATACCAACCATATTGGTCTTACCGTGGAAAACTATGACGTTTTCTTTGAAAATATAGTTATTCTCAAACATGAGTGTTGTTACGTTTTTTTATCATCAGAGCAACCGAACTTTACGCGAGAAAAGGGTGTAAATGAGAAAAAGGAAAAACAAATTTCAGCTTTATTAAAGTCCTAGGAAGTTGAAATAATGTAGAGTATAATAGTAATTAGGTAGATGGATTATCGTGAAGTATATAAGTGACGTTTCAGAGAGAAGTGGCTAGAAATATTGGAACCTGTTGAATAAGGTGACCTGTAGGATGTCTGGCGAACTTGTGTATGGCCCATGGAGTAGCATCTTGACAAGAAACTGAGCAGGCTTGTAGATGTTAGGAGCGAAAGCATTATTTTTTTACAGGCTAAAACTGTACAGTTATGATTGTTTTAGTTTTTTTAAAATTTTTTAAAGTCTAATTTTTTTATACATTCAGTATCTAAACTCATATAAATAGTTCTTACATAGTGCTAACCCGTGTAATACAGGTGGAAGATATCGTGTCATAAAAGGCAGATATTTATTACTTACTTTGCATTATAAATGACATGCAGCTACAAATAAATGATCTCAGAGCGAAACTAGGTCTACTTGACCTCATACTAGAAACTATCTTGCATCTTTAAAAATAACTTCAGGATCTCACTTTTCTAAAAGTCTTCAATTCGAAGAGTGAACCAACACATACTGACTAGGAAACGGATAAAGAATTGGAGAACGCAATGGACTTTTTGTTAAGCGAAGTTGTTAAAGGACTCACAACTAAGCAGAACACCATAATGCACAATTTATCAGACAATGAGTCCATAAAGTCGGTTCAACATTCTTTGTTAAGGGCTGCAAACCTTTCAAGTACACCCTGTCAGGGTATTCGGCTTAGTAAAAATGACCCAAACTGCACGTGTTCCATACTTTTCAGATTTGATAGCTATATAATGGCCGAACAATTTAGAAAATATTGGAATATTTTGGCCTCTTCTACAAAACTCAAGAATGTTAAAATAGTCTCTGACAAAACGCCTAACCAACGACAAGTAGCTAAGAACACCTGAGATACAAGCCTGACTATATTACAAAACATGATAGTGTCAGCGCAGAATTGTTGAAGGACACTGAAGCAAAAAGTGACATAGCATAGTGCTAGGTGAACAAACAACATGCGAAAGCGAAGTGAAACCTAAAATGACCAGTGACGTCGTTTTCAAAGTTCATGACAGCACCTTAATGAAATTTGCCGACCCCACACACACAAGGATGCTCCCACTACCGATAACCTGCAAATATCGACAGATCACACTCCACTCAGAGCGAAGCAAGATAGTTTCACGGTTAAAGCTGGAAAAAAGTCCCCGAAACCCTAGGTCTCTTCACAAGTGTCCATAAACCTCCCCAGCGATAAGCCCAACAAACAGCATGTAAGCCTAGAAAAGAGCCATGCATGCACTGTGGCAGGCCCCACAAAGGAGATGGAGTATGTGAGCGAAAGTACTCTTCTCCGAAATAAAAGTAATAGAAAAATGTGGGCGACAGACTACGTGAGGTGGGAGCAAACAGCAAATGTACTACTATCCACACAAAACCACGCGCTAGCAGACACGCACGGATCTCCAAATTGATTAAAAGGCTGAATGAGCCCCATGGTTTTGGTAATAGCCTAGATTGTAATACGTCTATAGGCGAATATAACCTGAAAACGGGACCCAAAATGAATAATAAGAACACATGGTGACTTCATGGGACACAATTAAACGCCGTATGAACGGAAATTTATTCCCGAACCATCTTAGTAGTTACGTAAAATCCCATCAAATATACGGGTATAGACTGGCTCACGGTCCTTCTACGTACACGTACGAAATGAGTCAACAAATATGCAACTACGAAAGACTTAGCACCCACTACCCCTAAGACAATCTAAAAACATCGGACCTAGGCCCTGTAAACTACAATCTCAATAGTGAAATAGACTATCTAATACCGAGAAATGGTGACAGATACCCACGTAATGATGCTAGGAACCAATGTATGCAACATGATTGTTTTAGACCGAAGCAAACAATAGCCCCTATCGCAGTACAATTTGTTCAAAGAATACTCGACACGCTGACATTGTCTCATCTCAGGATCCCTTCGAACATAACACAGGCAGCCAGGAGTTAGGGATAGTAACGAGGAAACTTACCAACTATCCTCCCAATAACCCTAGTTTTCTGAAAATCATGCCCTCAAATGCTTGATGTCTCCTTAACAAAATAAATTCACTTCGCAGCTTGGTATACATGGAACGGCCAAAACTAATCTTGGTAACTGGAACCCAGCTAGGTGATAACATACCTGACACACAGCTGTTGAGTGATAAATATGACATCCACATGAATGATAGCATGGACAGAAGAGGAGGCGTGTGCCTAATACACGCTTCTAATTCCACTGACTCCAATACTTTTACTAACCTAACTATCGACAAACTCCCAGAATCGAAGTGGATAAGCATCCACACGAATATAAATGAAATTCTCATGGGATGTATATCCAGAGCTTCCAACAGCCCTAAAACGACTGACACGGTTATCGGAGAAATACTAAAGCATGTACCTACGCTGGAATTCGAATACA